GGGAGTGTTGATGATGGAAAACCTCATCGTTACTGCAATGGGCTACGATTTTACACGCAAACAATACTCAAACGGGTAGGGTAAAAATTGTAAATGTATGCATACTATATATTATATGCTCGCGAGACTTAGAGCGCAATAAATGGTTAATCCCCAGAGGATAAGTGTGTTTACCTCTGAAACGACGTCGTCGGCTTTAGTCCGGTTTTAATCCGTGCCGATGCCATAAATTCTGGGTCGCCCGTTCTAATGGCCTCTCCTTTGTATTCCGTTTTACCGTCTATACAATAATCCAAATAAATCGGCAAACATTAGAGTTATCATTGTATTCAAACGTGTGGTAGCGGCTAGTAATGAATATTTACAACAACAAAAAAATATATAATAATAATAATAATAAGCCTCCACACTCCACCCGAGTTCGGCGGGTATTGTTTTCATCCGCCGCAAAAATAATGCGTTTGTCATGCATGCTCTATTCTATGTGTCTCGTATATGCCATTTGCCATTTGCCATGTGTGTTGAAAATTGTGTTCACTCCTTTCCTTCTTCAGCTTGACGTAAAACTGAATGTTACGTCTATCGTCGGAAATACTTTGCTTTAATTCATGTGATCGAATTCTACACCAGGTACCAAGAAAATGACAGAGTTCGGTATTAAAATGAATAATCTTTGTCGCGATTAATTCTACCGGATACCCCTTGAGTCAAAACAGTTTTCTTATCACATCCCATTCCCTCAAGGAAATCATCGTGTTTAACCTAACGCGTCTGTTTAGTAGCCTTTTCAAAAAATAATTTATTATTTTTTAGCATTGTTGTGTAAAGAGCGATCATTGTTTTTCATTGTACTTTGTTTAAAGTTTATTTAGAATAATACAACTTTCAAACTGTAGTTTTAAGTATTCAATCATATTATAAAGTGTGGTTTTATACTGTTTTAGCGCGATTAGACCTGGTCATCGCTGCTTTGTTTAAAAGTTCATACTCATACCTAGGTATTCCACGTACCGAAAATATAGTTTGTTGATGTTAATAATTATTATTATTTGTTCCACATGAACTCGTGGTATTTACGAATAGACAACCCTGCTCTTGCATTAACCGAATAGTGGAATTGCATAGCGACGAGAAAATATTTGAAATTGCTGTCATTAACCGATGATGCGACGGCCCATTACCATGAACATTTAGTTTACCATTATTAAATTTTCATAGAATAACTGGGCTCGTTTTTTTCTCTCTCTCGACAAAGCCAAATACTATATATATATATATATATATTAGTGTATACCGCGTCCCCTCGACGTTCGCAACATAGTAATGATAAAAAATATAATAAAACAAAATCCCCATACGTAGACGGTGATGTATGTGGCAAAAATCTAATGGAGACGGATAGGATTTCACATATCTTTGCCGTCAACACCTATGTTACAACGCGCTGATGCCAGTCTGTGGGTATTACCTTGCAAGGAATTTTGTACACACGCTAAAGTCTACAACTGATTTCACGGGACGTTTACTCACTCTTGCACTAAAACCCCAATAGGCGCTGTTCACCGAATCGTAAGCGACCGTGTACGTACACTTTTCAACATACCTGCTACTGTCATGCACACGCCCTCCACCCCTTGTTCTACCACGACAAAGCAGCCTACAGAAAATATTGTGCCGATATATAATTTTATTTTATTTTTTGCTCGCACCGTTACATTGTTTCAGATTTTTACTGTTGTCCGCCAACAGAGAAAAAAAGAACCTCTCACCCGTCCTGCCGGTTGTTTTCACTGTACACAAGGGAAATAACCATATTCTTTGTCTGTATGCCCGCCCCGACGGTTTTCACTTGAATCTAACACATGTACTTCTGGGTTTTTTTTTTTTGCTTTAACGTTTAATAATTATTCTTTGTTATACCGGTGCTTGTCGTTGGTACCTTCGGCAAGGTGGCTATTACCCGACCGTGGATCTAAAACCATGCAGGCTAAAGCCTCCTTGCATTTAATTTGTAATATCAAGTTGAAAACCGCTTTACAATTTCTTAAAGGGGTCGTCGAGAGCTCTTTTTGTAATGATCTTTGGAAGAAAAAAGTAGGCTCGAAAATGATACGAATAAATTTACATTTCGTCGACTGTGATTTGGAAGATAAAATCGTTAAAAGACTATAGGATGGTTTTCAGCAAGTTTTAATAGAATTTCCAAAAATGATCGTGGTAAAGTCGACATTACTAGTTTTTAATTGAAGGGTGATATTCAAAATGTAGTATTGCTGAAATTCCAAACTCTGATATAATAAGAACTGCTAAGAAAAGTTATAAACATTAAGATCTAACTGATTTTTTCATGATATATATAATATGATTAATTTGAAATCTTTTTCCTTTAGAGTAATTATTAATTTATCAAAGTTAGAAATTTTGATAACTCCGGGGTTTTACTCCAACCATTATTAACAAACTTTGTAATAATTAAGTCGTACTTCAATGGAACGGAATTTTTGTTGGGAACGCATAACTGAACGGTATGAAAAATACTCGGTTTACAAAAGAATTTCTGCTATGTCTCCCCCCTCTTCTTACCAAATCATTCTCTTCCTATTCCAACTTCCTGTTACTTAATTCGCGACTAGCTTATAAAATTACAATTTTATCAGCCTTTTAGTCTTTAGTCGTTAAGATTTGAAAGTCTTTCATTATAATCGTGAATTCTTCGAATTAATTCACTCAAGTGTTCACCGCTTTGTCGTTTCATTACTGTCGCCGAGTAATAATAATTATTGAAATCGCCGATCGAGTGTTTGCAGTCTGTTTTAAGCTTTCCAATTACTCTCTTGCGCCGTCGACATTTTTTAGGGTTTTTGCGAGAATTGTCTTCGAGTTGATCTCTGAAGAGACGACAGCTGCTGTTCTCGGTATTATTTGATTATATTTACCTCGTTCCTTTATAAATACATTGCTTTGAATGGCAATACTTTATAATATATAATAAATTTATACTATTTGAAAGTAAACGATAATAATATTATTCTGTTAAAAGCACGTTCCTTTTTCTCGGTAAATTACATTTACCGTTGTCGATCGTCGTCCTCGCATTTTTCCATCACATTTCCAGTTGTGAATCGTTTATATGTCCTTTTGTTTAACCCAGACAATGTACTTCGCAACCAACAATCGTCGCCGTTTCATCTTTGCTCCTACCCACTCCTTAGTTCATTTGTTTATTTAAACACTATCACGAACGTATAGTCGACGTTTAACAAAAATAAAAGCTGTAGGTATTCTGACCAGAGTCTTCTTTTTGTTTTCGAACTGCGTGCAAACGAGGTGCAAAATAACATAGTTAACATAAACGAAAAATTAAACAACTGGAATGTAAAGGACCGATAACAAAACGTGTACCGCGGCAGCTGTATTGACAAAAGCCCCGCTTAAACAATGACAACGGGTCCCCCGCATTTTAATAGCGGTGTATGTAAATACGATTGACTCCAATACATATAAAAAAAAAATTGATACTGTTGTTTTGTATCCATTTTCGGCGTGTTTATTTGAAAACGTTATCGCGGCACGCTATCCAACACAGGAAAACGAATCTGCGCGGGAAAGGGAGAAATATATATATTTTTGTTTCGAAATAATATTGTTTCGCTCCATTCGCCCCACCTATGTTATCATGAAATATTCGACGATTTTTGGGAAACGGGGAGCGAAGTGGAGTACGTTTCAATTTTTATTATATTATATGACGGCGATTAGATACTTTAAAAATGACAGGCTCAGGTGTCGGATTTCCGCTTTTAGTGCGGTCGAATCGGTTGCCGAAACGTATAAAGTAAATAATCATTAAAATATAGTTACTTGCCGGAGGAATTATAACAATTTCGCTTTATTATGTTATTTGCTCTTTAAAAACGCAAACATTGCTTTTTCATTACAATCTTTAACGACAAGCCGCTCCAAACACGGGTTGTAGCTTATGAACTTCCTTCGCGCTATATACTATCCAAAACAACTGTGGCCTTGCCATAAGAAAAACGCTTCAAACTCATGCATAATAAACAAGTTAATACCATCTCTGTGCACTCGTAAAACGCCGCCCTGAAATGTAAGCCAATATGTTTAGTCACACACGTTTTATGTAAACGCAACCTATAGAGTAAGTGGACTTTTAAAATGTAATATTATTATTATTCATGGTTGTATAATGTATATTGTGACGGTGGTATCGTTGAGTTACGACAATATACCACTGTCTCTTCTGGGATATGTCGTTCTAAATGTGTATCATTCATCGTATATAAATGATTCTCGAATGCGTTACTATAAGTTCTCCGCAGTGGATTTAAAAATGTACAGATGCGAGTGGTTACATGTATTACAAGTGTAGATTTTTTGTTTGAAATTCCAATTGTTGAATAGGAAAATACTAATTGGAGAATTAGCATGACCGCTGTAATTTGAGTAAAGGGTACGCAAAATAAGTACTTCACGCGAAGCCGATCGGTTTTCTGAAGTTACCTAAGCCTCAACAAATTGATAGTTTCACGGTAGAAGCAATGTAAGTTCAAGCGTGATTTCGTGTAGGCGGGAGAAGTATTGGTCGTGATAAACCTACACTGAGGCATCGGACCATTATTATTCGGTCGATGGCCGGTCGTTATGGCAGCGCTTTCCATTCGGGTCGGTCACATAAACACTGATGATACTTTAGGGTAGTAGATCGGTGGGAGTGGGTTGAAAGAGGTATTACGATAATCGAAAATATGGTCTTTGGAAAGGTGTGTGTGCACACCCGCTCTTTCACATTATGTAAGAATGTGAGGCGCTTTCTTACTGTAAATTTTCTTTGTCGTAAAAATACTTTTTGAAGTATCCGGCACGCTGTGGCGTTTATCAAACGGGATATTATTAAACGCTCAATCGTCGTTTCAGCAGATGCACCGAAAAATTTAAGGAGAGTAAAATATTTTATTATATCTTTTTATTTTGTTTTCCAGGAGCGTTGCAAATCAGTGACAGTCAGGAAACGGATATGGGCAAGTACGAATGCGTAGCGGAAAACACCGTTGGCACTCAACATTCTCCGGCCATTATGTTGTGGGTCAGAGGTAAGAACAAGCTTTATTAGCTTACTATAATACAGCACACAGACTAATATATCAAAATTCCAAAATCAAGTGATTTTGACAGTAACAGTTCCAATGATTTTTTTTTTACAAAACAAACATTTTGAACTAGTACCGTAACCTGGAGTTATCAGGTATTTCTTTGAAACGGTGTTTAACTTAACTATATTCTACACTATTGAGTTGAAGCCAACCTAACTGAATCTTCATACCTGCGCTTGTGTTCCAAGTAAATGCGGGGCCTCATGCATTTATGGATTATGTCCTTTGTAACTCTCATCGGTCGGAATCTGCATGTCTTTTCGAGTCCAGCGACTAAGGTCATGTTCCTTTTATTTAGCATTTGTCCGGATTCCGCGGAGCGTTTTTATTTTTGTATTTAGATTAACCGTATAATTTACGATTGCCAGCTCCGGGGCACGTATATGGACCAGGTAAACCCGGGACAAAACGAATTTATGATGCCCCAGGACGATATGGCCTTCCCGCCAGCAAGTTATACAGTTAATTAATTAGGTTAATTGTGAAACATTAGCGTGAGGTTGCTGCCGGCGCTGTCCGGAGGGTGAGGGTAAACGCCGTCGGATGTTTCATTGAATTCTCCCTTTTCTGACGTCGTCCCTTGTTGCCGTATAAACGGGAAATGTGTTTTCGCTCGCGGATCTCGCCGGGGTTAACATTTTTTCTTCTTTTTTTTTTTTTTTTTACGGAAGACCGAAACGTGTATACGAACGGCAACCGTTTAAAACGCATATCCGTTGACTGTGTGTTAAAAACAAGAAGAAAAAATATACTACCCTATCAGACTTTGTCCATGTTTACCAAGAACAATACTAATATTTGCTGTACTTATATCTGTTATATAGTATATATATATATCGACTGTATAGTGTCATCATCAGAGTATTTTCGTCTTTTTCACACCCGTTCGCCCTAATGACACTCGTAAGTTTTCTCTGGAGCTATTTAATTGAATCGTCTCACTGCCAAACTTGTCCAACGGTAAACACAATCGATTACCTCCCTCGCCGTCGTCGTTTATTGTTATCCTATTTAAAGAGATAATGCGAGCGACGGCAATGGTGTAATGGCGGAAAATAATAAAACGTCAATCCCGATAGAACGGTTTATTAACAGACATTATTTCCCTGGTGCAATAAATAGTATTTCTGTCAACAGTATTATTAATTGAAGGCTACACGTTGTTGGATTTGCTGTCGTTCAATTACACACATATTAACTGAACTATTTTTCCAATCCTATCAATATTTTATCGCTTCTCTTGTTTATTGACATTTTTCCGACTGGTAAAAACTATACAGGCTTAATTGTTATCCTAACGCAGTCCTAAGGGGATTTTTTCTATTTTAGTTGCTTTTTCATCGGTCGACAGTTCAACTGTCATAAACTCTCTCTTTAAAAGTAGTCTTCTCGAAATAGATAGTACAGCGCCGTGAAACGAGATAAAGTATCAAATTCAAAGTTTTTGTTCATACAACGAATAAAAGAAAAACTTTGTCGAGCCAAACGATCGGGCGCGCTAAAAGTATATACCTTTCGATAATTCTATTTCTCCTCCTATAAAAATTGCCAATATACTATATCTGTTTGCTTTCAGTTTTACTCTCGTGGCAGACAATTTTGCGAAACGAAGTTTCCGTTGTTTTTGATAAATTTTTAATATATTACGCGAAAAGAGACTTAAGGTATATGAATTATTCAATTAAAAGTTTAACTGTTGTGACAAATTAATCGATACTGTTTCAGTTTAAAAGCTTGTGTTGTTATTTTTCTCAAAACTCCGACCGGCTTGTTGATTTTACAGATGATTAACTGAGAAATTTGGCCGCCATTTCACGGTGGCTTCCATAAATTGCTGACATGTCTTTCTCTTTGTTGCTATAAAAAATCTCAAATAAAATGTAAAAGATGTGCTTTTCTAATTTATCGTTTTAAATTGGTTCATCCAAAAATAAAAATCAATCGTTTTTTATACCTGCTTGCCATTTATTAAATATGAGAGAAGCACATTTTCATTTAGCCGGTGGAAAAGTCTGAAATCTGAACTAACCTGAATTCTGTAATGTATCTATTATATAGTATCACGTGCTTATTTATTCGTATCGTCTTAACATTTTAAAATAAATAAAAGTAAAAACAAAAAAATAACCCCCCCCCCCCATGTATAGGACACTGTGACTTAAAGTACTGTATAATTTTTTCTTGGATTTTTGTTGTTACATTTTTACGGTTTTGGTTAATAATAGTAATTACTTTTTTTCTTCCCAATAGTCTCCTCATGTATGTATGTACCTATATTTCTTTGGCCGCTTGTGCACTTTTTATGAACGAATAAATGTTTACCATACGGCACGCGGCAGTGAACGGTCACTATAAAAAAAAACGTAGTGTGTACAACATATAGGTTAAGTACACGGCGAGTACATATTATTGCCTCAATCAGCTGTTATCGTAAAAAATCAATACCGTAAATAACGGAAAATACTGTAAAAGTTCTGCCGGAAGTCGCCAAAAAAAAAATGGCGTCTTTAGGGTCCATTAAATGACCACCGGGGTTTTTTTTATGCATGTTATTTTTTTCTCCTCGACAAATTGGTAAGTATAGTCGTCTTCGCTACCACGTTACGTAAGTGTTTGTTGGAAATTTTAAACTCCTTAGCATCTTTTAACATGGATATGTTTTTGGGCTGGGGGTCATTCTGAAATGACACGACTTCGTGTAATGGACATAAAGATGTTATAGACATACAGACATCAACATAAAGATCGAGATTATTTATTGAACAATAAATATGGGTCAGGGTTCTAGAACTTAACATAGGACCCACTGTTGTACTTTGGAAGTGCAACAGTGGCGGCCGTCAATTTGCAATGTATATTAATTGTACTTCATACAAATAAAATCGTTATGGTTATACGGATCCGTAATGCTAAAACATATTCATGATTCAATGTTTTTCCGTGGAGCGGAGAAAATAACTAGGGTTTTTCCTCCTCTTTTTAACTTTTCCGTGTTTTCTTGATAACTCAAAAATCGAAAGAAATTTGATTGTATTATATTATGAATCGGGCGAGGGTCGAAAAATTATGGCAAAAGCCATTTTCCTTGCACCGTCGCCAGTGCGTGACGGTTAGCAGTTTTGCCCCAACGAGTTTCTTTTTCCGAAATTATTATTATAATGGGTGACAAAGGATAACATTATAATGTTATTAAAATATGAAATCGACAATTATTATTACCCCTTAGAGTATACCTGTAACAGGGGTGTCACCCCCTCGCCTTCTTCTCCCGGTCTTCCAGACCTCAGTACGGTCTAACGCACTTGCACGTTTATCGTCAGACCGTTTTTTTTTAATGACGACCGGACAAGACCGAATACTAAAAAAACCTTTCTAACCTGTTGAATGCCGCGTCTTCGGATTTCCATTCGACTCGTTTATTATTATCCTTCCGGTCTGTTTGGGTAGCCAAGACCCTAGGAAACGTTTTTTATACAAAGCTATAATAGTAGGTTCTAATTAATATGATTTTAGTATTGTGCGTGGGGTCGTCCAGACGACGTGGCTGGGCTCGAGGTTAAGTGCAGTTCGTCGAAAGAGCATAATTGGTAGGGTAGCCCGTGGTCTCGCGCGCCCTACAAATAAGAGTGTGGGAGTATGTGGTAAGGAGAGTAGGGGTGGTTTGAGTATTATATAGGAATAGTAGCTAGTTGGGATGACGTATGTATCATATTGTCGTCTGCGCCACACCGCCAACCGCACTAAATCCAAGTAATGAGTTTGTGGGTTTTCCAATAGCCTCGGAGGTGAAAGAGCTCGGGAAGCAAGAAACGGTGCAGCGGGGGCCCTAGTGCGAACGACGATGACAACGGGCTTGTGTGTTAATTAATTAAATTCGAAAACCACTAGACCGCTGTCCTCTCCAAAACGCGCAACGCACACCGGTCGTTCTGTACACAATAATAATATTATCGCCCCATCAGTTATTGCGGTCGTGTTTTCCCCTAGAAAGGGTTTAGGACATCTGCACAAACAATATAGACTATGTAAATATAATTATAATATTTGATTCGATAAAAAAATTACCTGGTTTTCGAGTAAATTAAAAGGGTACTCGTTCATTCATAGACCCTTTTTTTTTGGGGTTTGGTTTTTCAAATAAGAAATATTATTTTTTGTCAAAAAACATTTTTTGTAATAACGCGCTTGTTTTGTATAAATTGAAGTTGGCTTTTATCTCGTCTCGACCATTTACTATCGTAACTTAATATAAAGAAATCATCCGCTTGTGCGTTATTATAATAACATATATTATATCAGGTTTCTCCGTGCACTATTGTGTAATGCGTGCGTGTCGTTTTTATTACACACATATGTCATTGCCTCGCCGGTATTTTTTACGTACAGCGCACAAACGACTTATGCGTCTTCCGGCCCATTGGCGCTCGAAAACGATTTCCTTTTGGGTACTTTAACTTGTCTAATAACACAATGATATTTATAAGACGACATAACCTACTGCGGATTGCCACCAGACTTGCGGTAAGTGTACTGACGGGTCGGTCGCTTGGAGAATTCGAATTTGTAATATTTTCTTGTCCAAGTTCGTTGACCCATGCCGCCGTGTTGCCAAACCTTTTTTGTGTGGAAATCGTTGAATGTTTTTGTCATTATTATTCTCTCGTGCTTACAATATGTGTGTGTGTGTGCGGCATTACCACGATTAGCTGCCTGGACCCGCGGGACGACGCGTTTCGGTTTCCAAATTTACCTAAGCCCCGCGGACTTGCGGTCGAGATAAGGAAATGCGGTTGTATGCGCCCGGGGTTAGGTCACGGGAAAAGGACGCTGGGGATTATTTTGAAAAACCTGAGGGGTGCCCAAGAGGATTAACGATGGTGTGACGACGAGGTTGCAGCATAATATAACAATTAAAGAACAAAATCCCCATTTCCGAAAGGGTTTTCCTACGGCCGCCGACCCTTTTATTTTTTGGTCTCCAGCGACACCTGTGTACCTACGGTTCTCTCCGACAATAATTTCACCGTACATCGCGTGCGGAGGAGGTTCGTTGTCAACGATACTAGGCACTAGCTATTGTTATTACTATTATACCGTAAGGGTAAATGTGCAAGTCAAGTACATATTTTACGAGTAGATTTTTATTCGGATTTTTGCGGTGTTGATGTTAACAACTTCAACGCTATAAAAAAACAATTAGTATATTTTGTAGTGAATTATAAGCATGCAATTAAAAATCAACATCTTCTGCCAGGATCAATGTACCTAATTGTTGTGTATGTATTACGAGTATGAAAAAATAACATTTGTTTCTACAACACTAATATTGTTCCCCTATTACTTAAAAATATTGTATCCGTCTCGTTTTGAAAATAATGAACAAATGTTCAAATTGAATCTACTATGTACTCCGACGAAGGGCAGGAAATCAAACGTTCTTCTTTCAACATGATCCTAACTATTTGAACAACAGTCGAGTCTAGTACTCAATAATTATACTCAGACAACTTGGTCAGTCATTTGTGGAAAGCTTTCTTTGTATACATTTTGTTTACCAGTGTACCGCGATTTATTAGTAAACTTTGATTTATAAAAATAAAATTTTAATCTTATATACCCGATTTGTGATGGATGTTTTAGCAAGATGTATTACCTTAATTTTACGAACAAAATATTAAATCATTGTTGTAAACCTAATCATACTAAAAGATTTTTCGCCAATAATTGAATCATTCATTATTATGTTATTAAAAATGTATTATTTTTCTTAAGATTTTTCAAGACCCAAGTATGATTGTTTCAATAGACTTACTAATTCCTGCAACTTAAATTATATTTCTTGATAAATGTTTTTGAAGCTTTGGTCTTGACTTTTCGGTATTAATAAACGACATTATTGTGCCAGTCCAAAACATTATATTTTTCATTAAAAAAAAAAAGCTATTTATCACTTCCACTCTTCCACTTGAAACTCGCTTGGCATTTTCTTGGTTCGTCCTCGTGTTTTTACCGAAATGGATTGATATACACACTTATGGGGCAAATGTGTTTAGAAAAGTGTCGTGTCCATATTAAAAAAACCATACACACACATGAACAACTGATAGTCACGATAATCAAATTATATGTTTTAAATGTATCGGTGGACACAACAACGGGGTTCGACCTCTACTCCCATTCGTCGATTCTCAGTATACGTTAATTCGCTTAAGTGCTATAGCAACTGTTTTCGTAATCGAGGGGATTGATCTACTACCCCTTCGACCTCTTCCGCCTTGGTGTATAATTTATCGACAACCAAATTCCCCAAACAATTACAAAATACCCGTTTCACCGTGGCTAGGACGGTTGCGTGTGCTCTTTCTTTAGGTATATTTCTTTCTTTCTGGGGCGTTCGTAAGTTTTTTCTTATCGCCGCCACATTTACAAGTACATAACTCAATTTTCAACTAATTTGGAGTTTATTTTTTTGCAGTTCGCAGAGTCCCCCCGCAGTTTTCCATTCCACCGCCTACAATGGAGACGGTCAAAGTCGGCGAAAACGTAAGCATACCGTGCGTGGCCTTCGGATCGCCAATGCCGTACGTCAAGTGGCGTCGGGGCAAGACCACAGAGCTGTCGCCCGAAGACCAACTACCCGTGGGCAGGAACGTGCTGAACTTGACCAACGTCGAACAGTCCGACAATTACACATGTATAGCCGCGTCGTCGTTGGGGATGATCGAAGCCACAACATTCGTCAAAGTGCTGAGTGAGTATAAAACAGTTTTCATAAAAGTATTACCATACAATTATACAACTCAACACCTTGTATCGGAATATTCTGATCCGAATGTATTGTCCTTTAGAGTCGTCAAAAACAGTTCAATTTTGGTAAGCTGCCATAAACTCTCATATAGTATCCCAAGCCATTCCATAATATTATTTTGATCAGTTTCATTACCAATGCTTAACTATAAGGAACTCTAGTCCCTAGTCATACTGAACAATCTGATCGGGTTATTTTCAGTCAACGATTTCAGTTCGACTCAATAACATTAATTATAATGTATGAAATGCTGAGACGCACACCCCCGAGCAATTATTAACCTTGCCAATTGAGAGACACTAACGTTTGATTGTGCAATTTTGACGTTTACGAGGAAGAGCAATATAGTGTTTTAAACGTGATCCATTCCATTATGCTGTCAATTACGGTAAATCGCCGTTAAACCGTACGGCGTGATCGTTAAACGGTATAGCCGTTTTCGCCGAGCACTACTCACTGTCCCTTGAAGTTTAATGATACTCGTAGTTCGGTAGTTGCACACTGATCAAATAATATTGTAAATGTATATCGTTTTGACACTAGTGGCGCGCTGTGGCAAAATTAATCGTGTCGTTTGCGAGTATATATGATATAGTATTATTATATAAATATATAATAATTATCGTTCGTCGTAAAATATCCTATTTCGTCGCCAACCACGTATATTTTCCCACTAATATTCCCGCACTGAAGAATTTACCAATAAATTTTATAAGATACCACGTCTACTCTAATAACCCCGATCGAATTTCATTTGTTTATTCAGCTCTATCTAAAGCTTTATAGATATAGCTAAAAACGGCATTTCGTGATGTTCGTCCATACGAATATACCATTATCTAAAATTGGCTAAAGAACGTGCTCTTAAAGCGAAAAACGGCTTTTTCCACGTTAAAATCCATATGTTTTTTTGACGATTTCCCGTGGAATTAAAATGAACAGAAAAACGATTTCTGTTGAATGACAAGCTTAACTTTTTTACGTCGTTTTTTTACAGCCTTGCCTAGTCCGCCAATAGACATAAAAGTGTCTGACGTTACTTCCACTTCGATCAGGCTGAGTTGGTCTCATCCCAATCCGGACGACATCCAGTACTACACCATATCTCACAAGCCCAAGTCAGCTGCTCAATCGCCGGGTGTCATCAGCGGCGTGGTGACCATGTACTACACAATCAGACCCCTCAGTCCTTACACTCAATACGAGTTCACCGTGTCCGCCGTCAACGGGTTCGGTCACGGACCCCCTTCGCAGCCCATAGTGGCCACCACCGGCGAGACAGGTAAGCCAGTCTTTTATTTTCATACTTGACCCTAACCATTCATTTCTTAAAAACTGTTATCTTCCGTTTTGGCCATAACCAACTTCTTGCTACTTGTAAGCGGCCGAGTTAGATTGTGTCCGACTTTCATTGTTGTTTTTAATGAGAATAAAATAGTGAACAACACTTGGCCGGTGGAAGTAGAAATTTCCCTAAAAAAAAAAAAACAAAAACCGTTAAATTTCCCGGTCTAATTAGAAAACTAATTAATAGCGCCGGAGGTCGAATGCTTTTATTCTTAAAGTTTTGCCGCCAAAAAAAAAAAACGAATATATTCTTATTTTGTTTTCGCTGTGAGCTTTTAATTAATTTTTTACCAAAGAGCGAAACAAAACGTGTTATAAAAGAACAGGCGGTAGTCTTGAACGTAATATAAATACAGCCATCGCTTATGTCATACCCTTTTGTAATTGCAGTTAAAAATGATTTTATTATATCGCGATGTATTATGTTTTATTTTTCCATGCAAAACAAATTTTTAATGGAAAATAATTCCGTTATGAAAATATAAATTAATCTAAGTAAGTGCGCGATTTTTATGTCTAAACGTAAACCTGCGTTTACACAATTGTTACACATTAGTTGTTGCACCTTTTGTATTTTGATTGCACCTTTTTGTTGTAGATGTTGCACCGTAATTACTTAGGCACATATTTTATAAATGGACTTAAGTATATTTTAGTTTCAAAGAGAATTGCTGTAGTATTTAATGAAATAGCACTGGTGCGTGTAATTGTCTTTCGCTCTCTCTTCATCACTTATGTAACGGTATATTGTTTTTTTTTATGCTGTACAAATGTGTATTTAAAACAAAAAACTGTGTTTTGTATCAAACCACGAAAGAAATTGTTTTTTACACTATACGATGTGGTAGTGTTTACATAAAATATTATAACGTTTTTTTTTTTTTTTTTTAATAAAGATGTAAAGGCGTTAACTAATATTATATTAATAAATATTTACTTCAAATACAATTTTTTTATACATAGTTTTTTTACGTTCAATTTTTACTATAGTTGGTGTTGGTATACAGTTTTTTGCATTACAATCATTATATTGTTACGAATTAAAGGGAATCGCAAAATATATAAAAATGTTGACCGATTACGATGTTTATTATTATTATTTAGGTTAAAAATAAATAACATATTATTATGATTAGGTACGTCATGTACGATCTTTCAACGCCGTTGTAATTATTTTTTACAACACACCACGTGACATCCCATTAGCTAATTGGGAATTGGTCGCACGGCGCGATAATATGATATGTTGTTGAAAAAAAAATAGTTGTAGGTATTCATTATATACACCTGTGTTACATAAACTCGAGTGAATAAAAAAATCGAAAACAAAATTAATAATAACGTTTCATTGAAAATATCGATGTTGATTGACAATAAACATGACAATTTTTTCCCCATTATTTATTTTTTTCATTTTTTACGACGGCAAATTAAAAAAGTTTTAACTATCGCGTTTTGATTTTAATTAATTCAATTGCGGTCGACGAATAAAAGAATATATAATATAGTTTTGTTCACGGTGGCGCCCATGCACGCATTTCAGAATTTCCTCCATTTCCGGTTTTGCCCATTGTGTGCAGAGAAAACGCGGCTCTTCCTCCTGTACCTATGCCAGACAATGATGTTCACCCTGCCCCCTCTTTCCCCTGCCCCCACTATGCTCGCGGTGTACTCCAAAAATCCGTTTTTCCGTAATTAACCCAAGTTCCATGTGCATATGCCGATGAGTTTCTCTGCCCCCTCTGTCGGCGGTAGTGGGTTATTATTACAATGGGAGAACGCGGACAAAAAAAAAACTATCTAATGCAAAAAAAAAAAAAAGCTTTTACGGTATATGGGCATTATGGATTTTCACATGTATAATATGCTGTGAATCAGTGAAAAAGTAGTCGGGAGAAATAAGCACAAATGACTGGAATGCGCGACGGTATTATTGGTAGAGACACCCTGAAGTACTTTTTTATTATTATTGTTTTGATCAAAATAATTCGACCCGTTTTCATCGGTTTTCTGAATTTTGTATCGTATTGAAATTAAAACATGCATAAACATTCAGCGGGCTTCTTTAGATTTGATAGAATTGCCGTTTTTTTTTTATATCATAATGTAATCAAACAAAAACCCGCCCATATATATTGTTAAAAAAAAAAAATCAAAAATATTGTCATTATAATAAATGAGCTGGTTCGCACTTGTACCGAAATGGCTTTGGGATTTTATAATGATTTCTTTATTACCTACTTGTTTGCGCCCAACATTAATTTTAAACCATATTTCTTTTTCTTATACATTGTTGTAAGGTGGTTGTTATTTCGATAAAACTTTTAAAATATCGTTAAACCCGTTATTTTATACTAGGTGAATATGGTTTGTATTATGAACGCAGTTAAATGACTCGAGTGTTCATAAAACTAACATCAAAAACTATTGACCAGTTTTTTTTTTTTTGCCATTCATTTATTTAGTAGTTTTTATGACGTTTCTATTTATGTATTGTTTTATTAGCAATGTTTTTTATTCAATTATAAACTAATCCCGGATTCGTCATAATCCGCAAAACTATTATAGACTGTCATTATTTTCCCTCGGGATGAGACATTTTCCCGGAATCGTAGTTGGCACGTGTCAAAACGGTTCAGTTAGTTTTTAATTTTGCGGCAACGCTCGTCTAGGAAAGAAGAGTGTATAGATAAAGTTTATCCGACTTGGTTGATTTGTGAACAAGCGTTTGCTTTTATTTTCGGACCAACGGCAATCGATTATTTTTAAGTGGACTACCTATAATTATAAGTGGTAAGAGATAATATTGGTCGTGGACGGTCCTAATGTCCGACCGACATTCATAATTTTTTCCACCGAATCTTCCTTATACCAAAACAATAAAGTTGTTTTATCCTCGTCAGTAACGTTGAACGTTGTATTGTATCTTTTTCTTTATTTAATTATCTAACCTTCCAACAACATCCCAGAATATTCTCTTTCGAAATCCTCTGGTTGTTACCTAACCTCTTCTATTTATTCGCAATTTACAATAAAGGAAATTTTATAAAACAAATTTAAAATATAAATAATGGAAAACATATATTACAGTGTAGCAGAATTGGACGTAATTCGAATATTTTGTTTATTTAGACTAAGCGAAAAATAAAAAATAACAATTTCGTATTGCATTATTTATGATAAAATTATTGTATGTTATTTTTTATTTATTCGTCAACACTATTAATTTTTATTGTATAAGCATTTTTGTTTCATTCGATACTATTTGCTTATTTATTATTACCTTTTTAAAGTTCTAAATAATAATAGTAGACACGCTTTTTAAATTATCTTTTTTAGATTAATAACAAATTATTTAAACTATTTGTTTATTTTTTTTTTAAATCAGAAACTGTTTTATGTTTATAACATGCATTAATATTAAATAATTGTTGTGCTATATTTTTCATAATAAAAGCACTTTAATTTGAAAAACAAACCTACTCTACACCAGATTCTACGCATAGGTAATATTCTATACACGGTGTATCATAAATGTACATCACTTATTTGTTTTTTAGACCGGTATAGTAAAAATGAGAAAACGATTTTTTTTCTTTATTATTTACAAAATGTATTTAAATAAATTTGAAATTATCTAAATTAATTGTCTCTTAATAAATTATAATTAAATGTATAAAGTTACAAATAACGTACCTACTTGATCCCGAATAAAAAAATGTTTATTAATTATTTACTGTCAAAAAAGTATACCCCATTCTACTGTAGAGAATATTGAATGTTATTTTTGAAATATCGTACTTTGTATGTATTTTTAATTTTAAAAAAGTAATTGAAGTTGAAGTGCGATAGAAATGGAGGAATATGAGAGACGACGGACGATTTTTTTGAAAGTTTAAAAACCAACCAATATTTATATTACCCGGTCTGTTTGTCATCATTATTATTATTATTATCTAGAGAGGGCGCGTGACAATGGAAAACAACTGAAATTCTCAAAAATCCGCCTCTACTGCGATGGATATCAACAATTTCAGCACGCCTTCTAATTTCTTTTTTAATATACTTTTACTGTTTTGCCAACAATTCAATACTGGCGCCCTCGTGTAAACACAAGAGGAAATGACACGAATACTAATTAAACGCCGAACAAGGTCTTGTGTAAATAATAAATATTAGTCTTGGTGCAGTAGATGACGGCGCACATGGGGGTGGACAACCCGCCGTGTCGGGTGACTCTGTATAAATATATACATATATATTTATAATTTAGTATCAGTAATAATAAAAATGGAAAGCCGCATCAAATATCAGCTATATAATGAGTGAATATTTCATTAGACTAAAAGCTTTTTATCGAGAGAGAGAGAGAGAAACGCCGCAGCACCAATATAGTGTAGACCTTTGAGTAGACGATCCGCATTACTTAACTATCTTTATATCGGATCTATTGAGTATGATCGTAATAATAACAATAATATATTATTATGTACATGGTTTTTGTTTCCGCTTTTTTAGATGTACCTACTTTTTACTTTACTCAAACAACATAATAATTATATTCTATTTTCTCTTTTTTTTTATCTCACTAGTGGATACCTCTGATTTTGGTGAAGGTGCAAGTAAGTTAGACAAAATAGTACTATTTAACACTCAATACTATTATCATTATATTATAACAATGTTATCTTAACCGTTAATAACAATAACGACTGGATTGATTGGACGCTTACTTATTTGTCTTAACAAAACAAAAACAAACGCTTAAGCTAATCACAGGTACACAACCGCAATGTCTAACCTAACCTAACCTAACCTTATACTTAATGTTTTAACGAAACAACATCAAACGCTTTAGCTTATTACAGGTACATAACCGCAATGTCTTCTTCTTCACTACTATTCTGTACAAATAGGGTCGGCCAGCTAGATGCTGTCCCTCTAAAACTCCTATTTTTAGTTTTATTGTACTTATCTCAGAAGTCCCAGAGTAACTTCAATGGACTAGGTTTAAAAAAAACCCCGGGTTTTTTTGCCAACTTTGACCTCCACTTGAATCTCATCTCAACTTTTTTTTTAGTTTTTAAAGTTCTTACCACTTTTATATCATTTTTACTATAGGGATATGCCAAGTTACGGAATTGATTAAAACACGTGCCACAAAGCATTTGAAATACCTATAATAATGATTGTTCTATTAGTCAAATAACAAAACAAATTTAAAAAAATTATTACACTAAAATTGAATTGCTATTATTTTATTAGAACTTAAATCAAACAGTAAAAAATTTAGCTGCATAATTATTTTGTTATTTTATATGCATTAAATTTAATTGAAATCACCTAATAAACTAAAGGTCATTTGTTTCCTCTTTTATTTAGGTCCTAATAACATGATAATCAACAAAAGTATTGTTTTAATCAATATGGTAGGTATTTCGAAAAATATTCGGCACGTGTTCTGTAAGTTCAAAAATGGCATAACTAAGATTTCAAAGGTAGCACGAAAATTGAGTGTAAACGCTTCAAAAATAAAAAAAATATTTGAAATAAAGACTGCCCGTTACTACTCATTCCTTCTAAGTGTTACGATCTACCTCAAAATCATTTTACACTAGTCTTCATAACAGCAATGTCTATTATTAACAATTTCAAAAGAAACTAACAAAAATCTGAACCCGTGTCCAGTCGCTATTAACGAGAGAGATAAATAATTCTAAACAAACATTGTTATTGATACATAACAAATGTTTGTGTGAAACCGAAAAGGTGTTTTTTTTTATTGTTGACAACTTAAGCAAATATTATTTAATTACACAGTACAACACGATTTTGGAACAGGAACCAAAATAAATCTACTTTTTTGGGGGGTATTTGGCCGTTTTGAGGCATTTTCTGCGGTTCCGTACACAATTTTCTAAATTGTATTTCGATTAGAGCTTTTTGTGTTAAATATTAAATTTGCTCAATTTACAGCGAGCTGTTCTCAGCTCAATCTACGTAGAACTTTTAGTTTTCTTTAATATGCAAAAGAAAGTTTAACAATGTTTGTATTGTAAGTCGCTTGGAAATTTTGAGCCGATTTAAAAACAAATTGTATTTTGTGTTCTTGTTCCAAAAAAAAAAAAAAAAGGGTAGTAAAATTTTGTTGTACCGTTTTATTAATTTATATTGTCGCACTATTAAACTTGGCTTTTTCACTTGTAGAACCCGGATCGGCTCCGAGAAACATTCAAATGCGTCTGCTGAGTTCCAGCACAATGGTAATACAATGGGAAGAGCCCGAAACACCGAACGGTCAAGTGATCGTGAGTATATCCGCGCGTTTGTTTCGGTCGTTGGCTATCAAAAAAAATCATGTTAATTAATACCGCGTTCTCCACTGTGTCCCACGCAGCGCTACAAGGTGTACTACACGATGAACCCCGATCAACAATTATCGTCTTGGAACACAATGGTGGTGGATAACAATCAGTTGACCACTCTGAGCGAATTGACCCCTCATTCCATTTACACCATACGGGTGCAGGCTTTCACCAACGTCGGCGCCGGACCCTTGTCTCCGCCCGTACAAGTGAAAACCCAACAAGGAGGTAAATTAATATTAACCGCATCGATATGCGTATAACTGCATTATAACTGCTCTGTTTGTCCACGCGGACACTGTACACTGTGCGCTGTACAGCGAGCAGATTGTTACACGGATGTGTTAAATTTTCTTTGTATTTCTTCCGGTGGGTTTCGGCCCCCAAACTGGCAAAACAAATTTGCCGCCGTGTTTCCCTATCCGACACTCTGCCTATTTCCATTATAATATGTCGGGTGGGCTCCACGCTACTTTGATATATTTTTTTTTAATCCCCATTAATATCCTTACATTTACTTCGGCAAACACGCATAAACATTTACGAATCAATAACTTAAACACGAGTCAACGGTTCAGAATTTCACCATTATTCGACAACATGATGTGTGTTATGAGTTGACTTGGCCGTGTCTGTGCGTGCGCTTTATCGTCGGCTGCTTTGTTTCAATCACGCCGTCGTCAAATATAGGTTTTGCTTTATCGCCAATTGGGCGCGGATACTTAATCTACGTTTGTTTCGCAGTGCCCAACCAACCGAAGGACTTGAGAATCAGCGAAATCGGCGAAACGTCAATTGTGCTCCAATGGGCCAAACCCAACGCAGAACAAATTTTGAGCTACGAACTGTACTGGAACGACACTTACGCTATGGTAAAACGCCGTTTTTGTTTCTATTTTTGTGCTTGGACCCACGATAATTTGTTTTTCTTAAAAATGTAACAAGTAGTATAGATTGGAAATCGTACCCGAAGTATTCAAAAAGCTGTTACCCCTCCCCAAACTTGTGTGTTGGGATATTCTTAAGATATAGTACTACCGACGACCTACAGTGAAAACCCAATAAAATATCATTATAATCCTTCACTACAGATGGAGTGGATATTTTATCTTTATTTACGAATCCGGATCAAACGATATCTATTTGTTCCGGAGACAACAACTCCGTCAAAAATTAATTCGTTTTTTAAACTATGTTTTGTTAAATGTTTCAATAAGTCTGATAACTGGAGGTCTATTGAAAATTTAAATAATATTTTCATTTAAACAATTATTCCTATAATGTGGACACATGACATATTTCATTTAACTATATTCAACTTGAATTAATGACATACATACCGAAATAGATGATGATCGTATAAGCCACAATTATTCAGTATTCAATATATAGTTATAATAATGTATAGTCTTTAGAAAGTTTGATGGTGTGAGGGATAACATCATTGAAGTCGCAGCAATAGGCAGCATGGGCGTGTAAAGACAATTCCCAGTTTCAAAAAAATACTTTGTACTTAGATTAATAAAAAAAGTATCAATTAAACGGATCGGTACATTAATTGTACATGTTTAATTAGTTATTCTATAATTGAGGATGTCATGTTTACTTATATCATATTACGGAAAATGTATAGTCTGTAAATTTCATGTAAAAATTAAACTGTGAACAAAACTACAACTAAAATTGTATGATTTCCATCAGGACGATTCCACCGTTGTGTTCTAATGTATTTATTCCCCATGTAGGAAAAGCATCACCGACGGATTCCTGTGACAGAAACCTACACATTGACTGGTCTGTACCCGAACACACTGTACTACGTGTGGTTGGCTGCCAAGTCTCAACGGGGTGATGGAGCACCCACTCCACCGATCCAAGTCCGGACCAAACAATATGGTAAGTGCCGTTACCAAACCGGTTACCGGGTCTCATGTCTGTGTTGGAAGTGTTAACCAGGTAGGAACACCGGCCGTATTTGTGATTGGACATACACACATGCACGAGTGCTGTTTGCTGATCACTATATGACTGTTGGATATATTTAGGTACCAGCACAGCAAGTGAGTCGTACCGACATTGTGTAACGGACGTGATCGGACGCCACTTGGTGTTGTTAGAGTATTATTATTATTATTATTGTTATATATGCACCAGCACTTAGATGATATTTTGTTACACGTTTTACTTTTTTGTTGTTGTTGTCTTATAAACGAAGTAAACAACATCCTATATGGGTTTTATCCGCGAACCGTCTATGAAACGTGTCGACGATTTGGATTGTTATCTAACTGTTGGTTCTTACCATTTATGAGTATTATTTAATTTTAATTTTTTTTTTTTTTTTTTGTTATTTCTTCATTATTATTTTTTTCTATTACTCATTGCTCGAACACAAACAGTGCCTGGAGCTCCTCCCCAGAATGTTACCGCCGAAGCCATCAGCCCCACGTCTATCACTGTCCAGTGGCAACCGCCTCCATCAGATCGTAGCAACGGTCACATAGTTTACTACAAGATCATGGCCATTGAAGCCGGTATGTCTGACTCTGACGCCACCCAGTATCGCGTGGAAAACTCCACTACGTACACTTTAGACGATCTCAAGCGTTGGACCGAGTACAGGATTTGGGTATTAGCCGGCACTTCAGTCGGTGATGGTCCATCTTCGTACCCAATTACGGTTCGCACCCATGAAGACGGTAAGCATCTACAAACATTTATGTGACACACACGAGGTGTAAACGGAAATTGTATTCCCAGCTTTTAAAAAACATTATTTCCCACATATTAGGTTCCTGTTTTAAAAGTCCATTAAACCAAGCCTGAAGAGTTATAGAAAATAATAACCCTTCTATTCTGCTTTAAAATGTTCTAACGTAAAATTGGCCACTTGCATTTAAAAAAACAATGAAAAAATTAATAGTTAACTGTGAAATGCTCATTTAGTGTTAAACTATTCAAAAATTCAAGAAAATCCTATTATCTTTTTCTTTAGAGTTGGTTAGTCTTTGAAAAGAATTTGTTAAATTTTCATCAAAGTACAAAGCTACATCTAACTGCATATTTCTGTGTTACATAAGAATAATGCTATGTAATGTAATAGTGAGTTTCACGTAAAATGTTTTTCCTAAAACAAGATTTAGGCATTTTTCGAATAATAAATTATTAACTATTATGTCGTTATTCGATTATTCATTTAATCAAAATCAACAATTTATTAACGATTCATTTTTAGTCATGATTGACTTAACTAGTCTGTATTTTAGAACAATTCAACTATTTTATTATTATGAATAAATTAACTTGTAACTAAAAATGAAATTTTCTAAGAAAAATGAAATTAAAAAATTAATTTGTAGCTAAAAGTTAGATTATTTATGATGAAAAATGTATTCCACTTATGTATTTCCTTACACATGATTTTAATTTTTAAGCATCAATTAAATTACTTAATTTAAATTAAATCACTCTTTGCTTTTAACTTAAATAAATAATTCCAAACACTGTCCAAAGATAAATCTATATTTAAGATAGCGTTCAGCTACAAATTTTTGTTTTCAGATAACTAAATTAGCCTTGGTCGTCATTCGCACAAAAAATTATAATTATTTGTGGATATAATTTCCGGTTACACTGTCACACAATCATTGTACACACCTTCACACAATAATGTATAACATTTCACTAATAATAATTTATTTAATTTAACTGACCTTTTAAGGGAGAGGGAAAACACTGTATTAACACGTAAGGTTACTATAAAATTTGGAAAAGTCAACAAACAATTTTCAACAGCTTAACAGTATGTTAAGTATGTACATAACTTTGAAAGAAATCATTAACTCAGTCATCCCGATACTTCTATGTGTATGATAAATTAAACTAGTGTCGAGTTGGTACAATCTATATTAACTGTTGTTAACTTTTGCCTTTCTTGCTATAATGATTGGCCAACCTTAAATTATAATGTGCAATGTAGGGTTATTAAAGTATTAAAATTAATGTAAAACATATATATATATATATAATTGTGTACTTATAACTTATCTATATATATATAGACAAACGGCGGTTAATTCAGACGGCTGCGGATGGATTAACATACGGGTGGATGTTATATCTTCGTAAACACTGTTTTTCATCAACTTAACACACTGTTTTGTTAGTCACTTTTATGTATTTGGGCACAGCCTTTTACAACCGAGCACAGTAGAACGTTTTCTTATATTACAATAAAAGCACTAATGGAACCTAACTCTGATCCATAATTCTTTTAACCCTATTAACCACCAAACATGTTTAAATAATAAAAAAAAAAAATATATGTAATTTTAATATATTATTTGACCTATACACTGAATTGTTATGGATTGGAATTTAAGTTGGCGCACCAATTAATTATTAATATTTTGCACCAATAGTAGCCATATTATTATTATACACGACGGCTTAAATATAATAAAATGCACATCGCTTGGTTGAACGAGAACCACACAACTGCAATTATTAATCAAGTTCAAAAGAACGTGATTTAAAAAGATTCAATATCTTTTTTAAAAAGAACATGTATAACATTGTTTTTAAAAAACATCTCAATTTTTTACCCGGTTAAGTACCGATGGTTTTTTGGGGGGGGGGGAATGCTGCTGCTCATTTTTTTTGTATTTTGGCAGCAGCAATCAACACATCCGCTTAAATAGTTGTTTTTAAAAAAAAACAACTAAATTATATATTTTATAAATATATTAATGCACACAATTTTTTTTTACACACGTAAAATATTTTTTTGTTTTTTGTATTTTGACACTAAAAGTATTTTTGTTGTATCTTTTTGGTACGTTTTTTCGCACTTATTTTTGCGAAACCGTTGTACCCGCCTCCCTGGTGATCTGTTCGTCCAGAATTAAATAGTGAGTATTTAATAAAAAAAACTCCAAATGTAGTGGACAAAATTAATATTCTGGTTTTCTTCTCACCCCGTAGCTACAATCGTCGATGGTTAGCTTGGCGATTCATTTTTTTTTTGTTTTTTGTTTTTTGATAAATAACAAGTAAATTATAGTTGTTTATTTTGGTAGATATTGATTTTTTATCTGTAATATAATTCTATAACCTTGTTTTTTTTTACTTTTTTCAAAACATTTTTACCTTTTTATTATGTGTTTCTTTACATTTGTTTTAATTTTATTTACCCTTATACCTACTTACCTACAATATATAGTAACCCTTACCCATTATGTTTTTATTATTGTTATATACTCGTATATACCTATTGACTTTTTTTTTTTTTACTTTGATTTTTGACAGAAATCATTTTTAATATAATTGTTTTATATTTTTACTTTAGCCATTTTTGTATCTTAATTATACAGTTTTTTATGTATACATTTTTTTTTAATTGAGATGCCTAGAAAATGGTTAAAATGATTTCTCGATCAAATGGTTAAAGAAAAACATAATGTTTACTAATCTTTTACCATTTGCTTTTTGTTTGCATAACAATTATTTTTGTTGAACATTTTACAACATCTTATTTCTCAAGATATTAATTGTTTTATTAATGATATTAGTGCCGGGACCTCCTACCGACGTCAAAGTCCAACCAGTGAACTCCACAACGATTCACGTACAATGGCGACCGCCGTCCGAAGATCAACGTCATGGAATTATCAGAGGCTATCATATCCACATCCAAGAAGCTAAACTAGAGGTAAACATAGCAAGAGTTTCCTTGCAGATCGACGGTTTTGTAACATTAAAAAGATATTTTAAGCGTAACTGAATGACAAAGTGAAAGGAATTACATGTGTGATGTAATCTATAAAGTTATAGTGAGATTAGCGATAACAACTTATACCTTAATTAAGAAGTATAATACCCAACTGTAATTAAAGGTAGATACTTAAATTAGTAGAGTATATAGACCAATTATTGATTGATGAATATATTAAAGGTAGTTTGGAATTTAAATGTGCCAACTTCATTAAAATTAAAAAAGTAACTCAGAGAGTGACATCGGGGATTAAAACCATTTGATATATGGACGGTTTAGTTCTGGTTTTGTAACTGGTATTATTTTTTGTTAAATACTTGGTTTAAAAAACATTAAATTAATATTTTAGTTATTTACATTTTATTTGTTAGACTATAAGATAGTGTATAATACAATAAAAAGAATTAGCAAAAAAAAGGGTCAAGGAAATGGCAAGTACGAGGAAGTTAAAAAATAGTTTATAGGATATTATTAATACTGTTATTAATCAATAGGGCAACGCACTTCTTAACGAACCTTTGCGTTTCGATGTGGCGGAAGCGCTGGAAAGCAATGTTACCAACTTACAACCGGACACGTTATACGCCGTACAAATAGCGGCCATCACCAGAAAAGGTGACGGCGACCGAAGTCATCCGGTGAAAATCAAGACTCCCGGCGGTGTACCCGTCAGACCTATTGTCAATCTCAAGTGTGTATCTGCTTCTTTGAAACTTGTCTTTCTCAAATGAGAATGCTTACTCTATTTCTAGTTCAATCAATCGATTGTTATAAATATTTTCGATTCGTTTACTCGTAGGATTTTGGAACGCGAACCCAAAGTAAACATTGAGTTGGAATGGACTAGGCCGACAAACACTTATGGTGAACTGTTGGGTTATAAGTTGCGGTATGGTATCAGAGGTCAAGAGATGTTTGACATCATGTTGACCGAAAACAAGAGGCGCATCAACGATTTAGGTATATATTGTGTAGAAATTATATTGTTTGTGATTCAGGTCTTAACAAAATATTGATATTTTTTAGAACGCGGTGTCGAATATGAATTTCACATATCCGGACAGAACCAAGTGGGTTTTGGTCAGGAAGCCACTGAATACTTCACCACGCCTGAAGGACCTCCTACAGGTCCTCCTACCAACGTCACTTATCAGTTTCAAACACCTGACGTAGTGTGTGTGGTTTGGGATCAGCCTTCGAGAGAACACCGTAATGGTCAAATTCTTCGATATGACGTTCAGTTTCACAAGAAAATTGACCAGTCAACCATCACCCATAGAAACACCACGTTGAATAAAGTATGTACAGTCTTAGTACATCAAGCTTTAAATAAGTTTTTATTGTGGGTAAAGATTATAGATTAGCTTAAGTGTATTATATAAACAATGCCAAACATGGGCATTCTGTAAATTAATAATAGTTATAATAAATTATTGATTATTTGGTACAATAAATAAATAATTATTTGTTGTCCTTATTCCTAATGATAATTTTTGTTTTCGTCCAGGCTGTATTTTCTGGATTGGAAGAAGCAACCGAGTATGTTGTGACCGTAAGAGCAGTGACCGCTGAAGGAGATGGCCCATGGAGTCCACGTATGACGGTCAACACCACCAGAGAAATGGTACGCGCCCCGATGGGTGTAAAGGCAGTGGCTACGTCCGACCAGAGCATTCAAGTCTGGTGGGAGGCCGTGCCGGCTCGTGTTAAGCTTAATGGATATCGCATTTATTACACAATGACTGCGGTCGAAGACCTGAACCAGTGGAACATCAAAGACGTCCCATTCACCGAATCCACAGACCTGGCAAACCTTGAAAAAATGGCACAATACGCCATTGCCGTAGCAGCACGTACTGAAAACGTATGTACATCTAGAAAAAAAACTTAAGCAACACTTGTGGTTGAACATAAAAAAAAAAAAATAACGAAATATTTAAATAAACCCTTAATCACAAAAATAATACTCTAAGCGTATATAGCATATGTCACCATTCTTCACATTGTATATTATAAATCCCCGATTTTTCTTCTTACCCTATTTTATCTTTGTTGCTAACTAATAAAGATTTGAGATTATTACTTTTTGATGCAACTAGAGTTATATCGTAATTTTTAAAAATGTTTGCTACATCCCTTGAGATACCTGTAACATAAACCATACCTACAATATAAAATTAGAAAATCGGCTTTTCAAAGACCACCCTAACGTACACGTTATAGAGTATTATTTTTATAGTTTAAGGTTTATTTAAATATTTGATTTCTTTAATATGTACATCCTTTGCAAAACTGTTATTGTGGTATATTTACTTCTAAATTCTGTTTTGCAATAATAATGTTGTTCTCTGTTGTTTAGGGATTTGGAAGACTATCTGAAAAATTTACAGTTATAGTGAAACCAGATGAGGTGCCGTTGAACCTCAGAGCTTCCGACGTGAGCACTCACAGCATGACCCTATCGTGGACACCTCCTATTAAGTTAAATCCAATTGGTTACAAGATCTCTTTCAACGCTATTAAAGAGTTTAGGGACTCGCAAGGGATTACTCAGATGCAAACTGTGCCGGTTCGTGTGATCGAGTTGGAAAAATATATACTGAGCCACACCATCGACGAATTGTCACCGTTCATCAGTTATGCCGTCAACGTAAGCGCAGTGCCATCAGATCACAGCTATAGACCTCCGTCCAGAATAACTGTCACCACGCAAATGGCAGCTCCCCAACCTATGGTGAAACCCGATTTTTATGGTGTAGTCAACGGCCAAACGATAGAGGTCATATTACCTCAAGCTTCTGAAGAATACGGACCAATATGCCATTATTACATTATAGTAGTACCTGAAAATCCAGAAACGTTGCATATGAATCCAGACGAGTTCTTGATACAAAAGGTAAAGGATTATGTTTAAACGGTATCTGCCTAAAATCGTAATTAAATGCAGAAATATAATTTCTAGGTTAGAAATTCTAACGCTTGAAAAAAATATCATTAAACTATATAAATAATAAATCTGTATATGTTTTTTCTAGTTAATTGAAACATCTCAACAAGAGTTATTACCTGAGGGTGAACCCTACATTGCAGCCAAGTTCCCGCACCGCACCATACCGTGGACTTTCAATATGGGAACAGGCAAAACTTACGATGGGTTTGTTGACCGCAAATTAGAACACAATGTTAAATACAGATTATTTGTACGCGCTTTCGTCGACACCCCACAAAAGGTAAACAATAACTGGCCTTTCTGCTTTCTTAGGTTGGTATTAACTTAGTTTTTCTGTGCAGCATTTGTACACTTCTAGTCCATTCTCCGACCCGTTGACATTGGAAATGCGGGAAGTCAGCCCAGACGACTTGCCGAAAAGACCAGAATTCCGAGACATGAACATGCCTGGAAACGGAATCCCTCCCATAGCCAGTAACGACCATGTCAGTGTCCGGAGTAGTGCTACTCCACCAGGCCTGTTGTGGTTGGTCGGACCCGTCATAGCTGCCATCCTTCTCACTGCCGCTTTGGTGTTGCTGTTTGTTGTGAAAAAGTATGTTGATCTCTCAATCCCAATAGCTTTCGCTGTGGCTATTGCTTGTAGCCATTAAATATTATTAACAATCATTTTGTATTTTAATAAAATGTATTAATAAAAGAAAATAAGTGACCTTTTTAAAATTGTTGGTTCCCGGTCAGTCAATTTTGAAAAAGATTGTCAATCCAGAAGACTGTCATTCTTTGAATACTCGTTTAAAAACTATTTACTAATAATATTGTTATTGTTTTCAGACGCCGCCGCCCCAACAAATATGGTGAAACATCTGGTGTCACTAAACCCCTTATAGGGCACTCGCACGCCAACAACGACCCCGTGGAATTACGGCGCTTACAGTTCCAGACTCCTGCCATGGTGTCCCATCCACCGGTTCCCATCAACTACCTAGGCCAGCACATCGAGCTGTTAAAGGCCAATGACAACTACAAGTTCTCACAGGAGTACGAATCGATCGAACCCGGCCAACAGTTCACATGGGACCATTCCAACATGGATGTGAACAAGCCCAAGAACCGATACGCCAACGTCATAGCTTACGACCATTCGCGTGTCGTGTTGCAGCCATTAGACGGTGTGCTGGGCAGTGATTATATAAACGCTAATTACTGTGACGGCTACCGTAAGCATAATGCGTACATAGCCACGCAAGGGCCTCTCCAAGAGACATTCAGCGACTTTTGGCGCATGTGCTGGGAAGTACGCACTTCCACCATCGTGATGATGACCAAGTTGGAAGAGCGGACCCGAGTGAAGTGCGACCAGTATTGGCCGGCCAGGGGATCTCAGACTTACGGCCCAATAACTGTGACGCTGCACAACGTACAAGAGCTGGCCACGTACGTCATACGGTCATTCCATCTGACCAGGGCCACAGACAACGAGACCAGGGAAGTCAAGCAACTGCAGTTCGGCGCCTGGCCAGACCACGGTGTGCCTGATCATCCGGCGCCCCTGTTACAGTTCATGAAACGCGTGCGTGCCGTCAACCTGATGGACTCTGGACCCATAGTGGTGCACTGCAGCGCTGGTGTCGGCCGGACTGGTTGCTTTATCGTTATTGATGCAATGCTGGAACGTGCCAAACACGAACACACCGTTGACATATATGCCCACGTCACATGTTTAAGAGCCCAACGAAACTACATGGTTCAAGTGAGTGCAATGTTCTCAACGACCATAACTGTTAACTTATTGTTATTTTTAATCGTTTATTACAGACCGAAGAGCAATACATTTTCATACACGACGCTCTCTTGGAAGCAGTAACTTGTGGCGAGACCGAAGTGGCCGTACGTAATTTGCCCATCCACGTCCAACAGCTTTCGCAAATGGATGTGACCACTACAGTTACGGGAATGGAACTTGAGTTTAAGGTAACAATTGTTTGTAGTTACTTAATTTTTTTCAAAAATATAATTATTATTATTTTGACGTTTTGTAGAAACTGGCATTGGTTAAAAATGAATTCTGTCGATTTGTAAGCGCCAGCTTACCAGTGAATAAGCCTAAAAACCGGCTGGTCCATCTGTTGCCTTACGAAAGCACAAGGGTCTGCCTGAGCGGGGGTTCTTCCAGAGGATTGGAAGGGTCGGACTACATCAATGCCAATTTTATAGACGGCTACCGACAACGAGGATCATACATTGCCACTCAAGGACCGCTACAAATCACAACTGATGATTTTTGGCGTATGCTCTGGGAACACAATTCCACTATTGTGGTGATGTTAACTAAACTGCACGAAATGGGAAGGGTGAGTACCATTGCAGTCATAATAAAAAGCAATATTACTATTGAGGCGGTTATGTTAATGTTTAGGAAAAATGCTATCAGTATTGGCCGTCTGAAAGATCAGTCCGCTACGATACCTTTGTCGTTGAACCCATTACTGAATATAACATGCCGCAATACATACTTAGAGAGTTCAAAGTGACGGATACTACAGACAATGGATCCAGGACAGTCAGACAGTTCCAGTTCACCGATTGGCCTGAACAAGGAGTGCCCAAGTCGGCCGAAGGGTTCATAGACTTTATCGGACAAGTTCATAAGACCAAAGAACAATTTGGCCAAGAAGGACCCATCACTGTCCATTGCAGGTAAAAACATGGAGAATAACATTCATCTTTTTAGACCTGTAAATAGAGGTAAAATAGCGGGAAAAAATCCCAAACCTTTTTTTAAAAATGGTACTTTTACATACTTAAAGTTGTCAGATTGGTGCAGTTTTTTTTAAAGTTTAACTTTTTTAATTTTTTCCAATATCTAACAAATATTGCTAAAATGGAAAGCTATTTCAAACAAGTCAATTAATTTAATTTAATTTGCTAAAAAGAAGGTAGCTTTTGTTTTTGTTTTTTTTTAACTAATAGTTTTATCATAAATTGTGTATTATTTAAAAATTTGACTCCCTTTAGTATTTATTCCGGAACAAATAAAATATTAAACAAATCTATTATATTATAAAGACTGTATAAAAATTTGTTTTTCTCCAACAGCGGTGGAGTCGGTCGTACGGGTGTATTCATATCTCTCAGTATTGTGTTGGAACGCATGCAGTGCGAAGGTGTCATTGATCTCTTCCAAACAATCCGAATTCTGCGTACACAGCGCCCGGCTATGGTACAGACAGAGGTAAAACATTTTGGAAATAATCTACTGGTAAAGTATTTTGGTGATTGAACGAAAACTTTTTTTTTTTTTTTTTCAGGAACAATACCAGTTTTGTTATCAAGCTGCTCTTGAATACTTGGGCTCGTTCGACCAGTATTCCGACTGAGACAGGCCTAACGTGTTCACGTCATACACTGAGCACGCGGTTTAAAAAAAACTACTATTACTCTGTTACATTGCACGCACACCCATGGGTTACCGCCAGAGCGGTGTACCCTGTAGGTTAGTTGCTGCTGGCTGCTAGATAATTGCTAACAAGTCGCAGTCAGTCGTCTCTCGATTGGTCTAGTCGTCGCGTACCAGTTCAACTCCTCACGCGCATAATTACCATATATAAATAGAAAATCTTAATAGTGACTTGGTACTTAATTTTTTTGTTTTTATTTGATTTTTATGTAAGCTTTTAAAATTGTACTATTTTTTAAAGAGCCTAAAATTTGAACAAAGTTTTTTTTTTTTTAAATAACTCCACTATTATTTTGTTCGTAAATTGATTATTTCATACAACGTAATAATATTATCCGAACAACAAACATATAATATTATGTTATTGTAATATTATGTAGTACTTAATGACTGTTAGGTATTGTGTATAGAAAAAAAAAAATATTATTTATAATTTGTAAACGTAGACAATTTTTTAAATCGTTAGTTGACAAACTATTGTTATGTCATTATAAAAAAAAAAAAAAAATAAGAAATCCATCGACTGATGTACTTAAGGATAAAGCCTTTTTGTGTTCCATGACTATTATTTGATTTATTAATAATTATTTCATTGGATTCGTTTTTTTTTTAACTTTTTTATGTTTAAAAAAATGTCTTTAATTTTAAGACTGTATTCGTTAATTTATTTTGATCTTAACAAGATGGAACGGGGGATGGGCTTTTGATTTTCTTCGTCCGACTTTTGTTTTATTGTATTTCGTACCCAATATTTTTTTTTTTTAACTAAGAGTTACCTCTGGAGGAGAGAATATCATCACACCAATACACATCACTTGTTAGATTTTTGTATTTATTTTATAATCAATTTTTTTAATAAACGACAATATACAAACTTACCGTCCTCGAGGTTAAGTCTAAGCCGCGTCACTTGGTTAATTTGCCATTCGTTAATTATTTTCTATGAAATTTCAAAACCGCTCACGCTTAACATGAAACAGAAAACAATCACTTTCGCGTTCGCCAGCTTTCTCTACACTTGTATATGGTTAACTAATAGGACCACAATATATAATCGAATGGTTTATCGAATCGTCGTTTCCGCATATCATTTATAAAACTATTGTTATCCCTTGAGCAAAATGTTTTTCTATTGTAAATAGTCTTTTAATAATATTAGTACACAGTGTAATTATTATTATTAAATTAATAAGAATGTAAAAATAATGTAATACAACAACGAAGTGATTAAATTGTTGAGTTAGTAGTTTTTATTATTGTATAAAAAATAATAATAATGATAAATGTATTGATAAATTGTAATTTGTGTTGTCACCAGCCAAGAAGATCTTTCAATAGAATAACGTCTAACAAATAATAAATGATTTTGTAGAAATTATTAAATAAACAATAAAAATTATAAAAAAAAATATATCTAAACGACTATTTATTTTGAGCTGTTGTTATTATCTATTATAAGTCTTTGAGGCATTTTTATACATTTTTTTTTTTTTTTAACAATAAATTTAGGATGCTTGTACAGAGTATGATTTTTAGCTTCGATGAGAAGCTGTTAAAGTATTTACAATGATTTACAAAGGTTTTACAACAATATTTTTTCTAAATGCATCCACGATAACATTTTAACCACCTGACAGATATTTTCATGTAGCAAGTCTATAGATAAGAAAAAGTAACCCTAAGATACTTTATTGGCCTAATAATTTAAATAGGTTGATCCCCCCCCCCCTGTTAAATACTTAAAATAATCCTACACATTCACATGTTTCTCAACGGTTTACATTTCATCAATTAAGCAGGATTTGAGAATATAATATGTATCGGTGATCAGTTTCAACAATTTAGTGGTAGGGAAAAATTCGTTCTTTTAACATATTTTACGGGTTTATAAAACAAAACGAAAGGAAAAATTATAATTGTGTCATGCTACATATTATATGAAATTTTAAGTTTGTATAGCCAAAATTGCTTTTAAAATTTGCATATTCCTGACAATATTAGTGTTTAAGATGGTTTTTGGATAAGATTTGAATTTTGTTTGAATAGAATGTGCTTTTACTAATTTTCTCTGATATTTTGACTTATTTGCAACAAAAAAAAAATCTAAACTACAGGACGTCTAATTTTTTTTACCATGGAAGTATAGATAATAGATATGTCTTATTTCTATAATACGATCGAACCAAAAACCTTAGTTTAAGTTAAAACAATTAAAAAAAAAAAAAGAACGGAAGGAGTTTAAAAAAAAATGTATGTTTATAAAACAGTCATATATACTTGCTGCTGTTTACCAATTTTTCAAGCTAGTATACATATTCTAAAAATCTACAGAAATCTACAGTTTTGAAGTTTTTATGACTTTTTTAATGTTAACTACAGATTTTATAAATTGTAGATATATTTAGAACATGAATTCATTATAATTCTGAGCTCTAAAGTCCTAATTACGCGCTCGAAAAATATCGAAAAAACTTTTCCCGCTGGGGGGGGGGAGGGTGAAAGATTTACCTTTTAGGATTGCGGTGTTAAAAAACATATTATGCGCGACAAACGAAAATTGGACTAAAACAAATAATAGGTATTTAATTGAAAAAGTTACTTTAGTTTCAAAAGTTAAAATAGCTCTGGGAAAAAGTGAATTCCGTAAATATTTAGTGATTTTATATTTATGTTTTCAAATAACATAAACGTGAATATTTATTTAAAGAAAAACTATAGAATTGCTATTATTTTAAAAGAGTAAACGAGTGTCTTGCGTTGAATGGAACATGTTGTATATATTTTATTCACGTTAAAACACAATTCTACAACGCATTGGTCAAAAATAATAATGATTACTTAAAATCGTTGAAATTTTGCCGTCAAGATAATAATTATGAAGTAATTTTATAGCATATACCCAAGGACTGTTATTTTAATATTTAACGCGACTGAATACAATATATATTTCCTATGAATTTTCTAAAATACTAGCCACAATTGGATGAATTTTAAATTAAGGAATTATTTAGTTTATTGTAGTTTGTTTCAATATTAATCATTTGAAATGTTTTTATTTTTAGTTTCGATGTAAGTATTTTTTATTAATATTGTAAAATTAAGTAATTTTAAGTATAACATTTAATATAAATATTAATATTAATATAATATGTAAATACTAAATATTACATATTTATAGTATACCTATACTATATTACATTATTATTATTCGATTAAGCAAAACATTTAGACTAACCTTCTTAAAAATATTCATGTACACTTATTACTTTTTATAAAACTTAATATTCCATAGAATAATTATTTAAAATTGTTTTCTAAAAATGAATTTTTATTCTATTCACTCAATAAAGGTGTTAATTTAATTTACAAATACTTATATATTTACATTTTCGAGAGTATTTATTTTTTGCATACTCAACTATAAAACATTATTTTTTATATGCAGTGTAGTGTACCTAAATTGAAGCTTAATATTGTTATTTTTACACTTTCCCCACAGCAAACAAATAAAAAAATTTTATTCAAATTTTGGAAAAAAGTTTTAAAATTATTTCTCATGTTTAAATTATATTTAAATAATATTTTGTAAAAAGAAATTTCGAAACTCAAAAATTTCACTCCGGAACGTTGTTTATAAGCGGTATTAAAAATAATGAGACGTTTTGAAAACATTTAAATTTGTTCGCTGTGCTGGTGAAATTATAACTAACAGAGAAATGTTATAGGTGGAGTCAAGTCTCGTTTACAAATCACACGAAAAATGCATGTAAGCACTTAAGACACATTGCACGGTGCGGATCATTTCTGTAGACAATTTATATAGTTTTTTTGTATAGTTAGAATTTATATCGGTTTTTATAGCGGTCTACATTACATTTGGGCGCCGCCGTCTGATACTTTTATACTTCCAAGTCCTCTGCCAGAATTGTATTTTTATTTCTCGGCACAAAATTCATTCATCGTTAATGCATCAAATATAACGACCGGTCAAAGTGACATGACCGTGGAATGTTTTTTATTTTATTTTTAGCTCTCACGTCTGCGATGGAATCGCCATTTACCGATAATGAACTTATAATGTTAATGGCGAATTGACCTCGAAAAGTTTGTCCGACCAATATTTTCATAAACCGAGAAAGCGCATCGGGAAATTGTACATATATTTTTCTAATGTTTTGTTTTTGTCGAACACGGCAGGCCATAGAATAACATTTGATTAAAAGCCTGACAACAGCGGGTGCAATAGATATAAAATCAACCCATATCTAAATTTAAATAAATATGATCTGATAATGTGGTTACGAATATCTCAATTCCGTTGAGTTTTGATTTTCAAATTCAAAAGTAGCCAACTATGTAAAATATGCTTTGTACACAGAAAATTACTGAATTTTTTCAGATTTATGATGAATCGTCCAAGCTGTGAACAGAACAACCGCTGTTTTTGTGTTGCCAAAAAAAGGGCACTGCCATTCGCTAATATACGGTTGTCGGCTTCCGCGAAAATCATTTTGTAGCCAAAAAATAAAAATTATATATACCACCCACAAGCACAGATGTAGACTATAATAATATTATGTGTCAGTATGCCAGCACACACGGCATGCATTCTATTATATAATACAATGTATCAGTTGTTGCTGGACGCTGTGTAAGTACAAATTTTCTTTTAATAATTAACCTAACTAGACATTATTATTGGATAGAGTTAAGCTTAGAAAAATGTACAGTAACATCTCATAATCGTAAAAGGTTATAAATGCTGATGGGCATAGGCTTAAAAATATATATCTACTACTTATTTCCGGTGTCTTCCAAAAAAATTAGTGTTAGAAAAATCTGAAATTTGCAGAAAAAAATATTTATGATTCGAAATATCAAAACAGAAATGATAAAAAACTAATTTTGTTTTATTTCTGATAACTAAAGGTTGTTCTAAATGTTCTAAATACCGGTTTTTTGATATAAGTACATTATAGGCTCTCGTTTTTCCTTTTTCTGAGACTCCGGGAAAAAAAACTTTTTTTTATTTGCGGTGGATATAATAAAAATTGAAGTTAGTACGACACATGAAAAAGACCATTTATAGATATAAAACAAAATATCAACAATAATAAGACGGAGGTTAAAACTCTCCCCAGATATATCACTGTATAAAATAACACGTTGGGTTGAAATAAAAAAAAAAGTAGCAGAATTTTAATGAAAATAATTTATGTATATAATAAATATAATACTCAATACGAAATGTTAGTTTAAATTAAAGCGAATATATTTTTTAAACAATAATACAAATAATTAGAATAATAGTTGATATTTTACATATGCCTAGTGTTGCCAAAAGATCCAAGCCCAGATTGAGACGCGCCCTTGTTGAAACCCATTTGCAAGTTCAGATGTCCTTCCGACGCTCTCAACTGGTCTTCGCTGAACTCTCTCTTGTTGACGTCCGCCATTTTAGGTCCTAACCTGGGCCCCGTGTATTCCGGGTGCTTTTGAGTCTGTAGGAAACAATTGGTTTAAACAATGAATAACATTACCATAAATTTGTTTTTATACAATGACTCAAAATATAAAGCCAATAGGTGGGCAGCACGCTGATAAAATATACTTGGCTCTACTCGTTTTACTGTACTCAAAACTTACAGGATTTCATACAACTGTTAACTGCGGTTGATTGGTCTTTAATAATTTTGTTTAAGTCACGTAAAATGATTGTTAACGACAAACTAATATCATATCATTAGACAATTTTAAAATGTGATTAAAAATAATAAACTGGTCATAATAAGTAATAACTATTAGTTCGTCTATGTTTTTATTAATTGTCTATTACTGTGAGTTTGGAATAAAAAAGTTTTTTTTTTTTTTTACTAATTTATTAAGTATTTTACTGCACGTGTTTTAAACTATATGAAAAAAATACTGTTTTAAGCCAGTCGTGGAGAATAAAATAGTTTTATTTATATGACATCAAAATATCATTATAGAACTTTTACGTTTCGTTAGATGAAATGTTGTTATTCTACCATCTTACTACAGTACAATAGTTATAATGGTAAATGTGATGACTATTTATTGTGGTCATCACTACTAATCTCCACCAAAAAAATATAAAATACAAGTGGTTCCTACACTAACCACCGCCTCTCTATAAATCATAAAACCCCTCAAATAGTTAATAAAAAGTATTTATTTTCAAATAAAACATTTTTAAATAATAATTTTATCTTAGTTATTATAAATTACAATAGAAGATAATTTTATTTCAAACTTGATTAAAAAAATATCGAGTCAATAATATAATTAGATAATGAGTTATAAAACTTTTTGTGTGAGTAAAAATGAAAAAATCGCTCTTCATATAAATGAAAAAAATTGATGATAGTATACACTTTTCTTGTTTTGAGCTCATTTATATTGTAAATGTTTGCCCTTTGCAGATGTCCAATAAATTAAATAAAACTTATAAGTAAGTAAGATATACCTAAATTTAATACAAATTATAGAATTTTAAGTCATGCGTATTGAGTGCCTAATTATAAAGGCAAGGATGCGTACATTATTTTTAGAAATGTTTGGTTAATTCCGTTTAGATTTATGTCCTAAATTGTGTTATCACTTATCAATCTCATATCTAGTAATTCAGCAATTTATATACTACTTACATATCTTCCTAGGGCGTACAGGCAAAGGGTCACTTGAGGTATGTTTCTACGTTCAAACAGGTCGGCTGTCTGGAAAATTTCTTCCTCGGGTACACCGTATTTCTTAAGGGCGGCTTGAAACCTGTGAGGTCCATTTAATCATTGCATTAACATTTACAATTAGAAATGTTTAAAAAATTACAAAGACAAAACGCCAACCACCAATACATATTTATTTGAATTTGTCACTATTTTAGTACTTAGGGCGTTTAAAATACAACTTTAAATCGTAAAACCCACGCGATTTCATTGACCCTTGGTATATATTTCACATCAAACCGAATTTCACCAACTTCATCTCAGACTTATGTTTGGCGTGAGATTGATTATGGTAAATTACAATTTTTTGGCGGATAAAAGTTAAAACCCCAGTAATATATTTATATATGAGAGAAATCACAAAACCGAGTATATATAGTAGTATTTGGAATAATTTTGTAATTAACCTAGCTGATTGTCCACATTAAAAAATATGTTCCTAATTTTTTTTTTTTTTTTTAATTTCTTTGTTGTTTATTTCATACGTCGTTCCAAGGGTAATTTTTCACCGATAAATTCTGTACATCAGCAATAAAGATAAAATTGGCATTCAGTTGAAACCGAACGGCGTCAAATCGAAACAAATGTTGAGTAGGGATTTATGTTTAAATTAGTGTACCGGGCAAATTGGACATCACCTCTGTATGTTCTCCATTAATTGGAAGTTAGTGCCCTTGGTTTGGATCTTCTTCACTGATCCAGGGCTGATCTTGTTGATGAGATTACACAAGACCACTCCGTCTCTGAGCACGTCTTCGTAGACCGCGCCGGCCGGCAGCTTTTCGCCAGTCACTTGGCTGATCCATTCCAACACTTCTTGCTCTTGTTCCTTGTTTCGGGCCTAGAAAAGTAAGTTGTCGACGTTACAACTTGCCATACTCATCGTACATATTATAAAGTTGTCGCGATTATTTTTAGATGTACACTGAGATCTAGATGACCACTTGAGCATAACACGAATCACTTGGTAGAGGACCGTTAACGAACGCGGACAGTGTTTTGGCGGTAGTTCAACATTTGAAGGGGAAAAAAATAAAAAATAAATATAATAAATATTAACATCCGAGTAATTTCATACACATTTAAACGCAAGCTCGGCAATTTTTTAGATTTAAACATTTACATTTACTGCAGTCTACAACATGTAGTACATTTTACACACAAAAATAAAGATTGCTTTCCAGGGACAATAATATAGTAAGATTAAATTTGTTTGTCTTAAAATATTTTTCAGTGCAAATAAAATACTGTATCTTCAGTAAAAATACGACAAGTGTTTTAAGTACACTGTACACTGCGTAATGGAACAAAAACCAAACGCATATTATATTATATTTTTTGTTGAATCCAAATATGGCCTCGGAATTTCTCCATCGCGTTTTGATGTTATTTAATTTGACTAAATGTAAAAAAAATACCATGAAATAGTATTTTTATTGTGCTAAAATAAATTTGAATAGTTTATTTATTTTAGTTTATATTTTGAATTTCGTTAATTAATTCCCGTCCTATATTTTTTTTTTAGCTCGCCTTAATGTTATTTTATTTATGAAAATCAATTATCTTATTGATCCTTTTTAAAATATTATAATTATCTCTGAGAACTACATAGTTTGTAATTACTATTTAATAATTAGTTATTATTTTTCGTTAGTAATTAATTGCGTTGTTTTTTAACACTATAAATTGTAGATTTATAAATTTTTGTTTTTATTGTTCAAAATAGTCTGACAGTAGTTAAATATGTTTTTAGTTTTTTAAAGGTTTAACTATTGTGAGATAAATTTAAGAATTATAGTTAATAAACGAATAAAAAAACATTAAGAATTTATGTAAAATATTAACTAAGATTTTAGCCTCGGTTTTCTCGTAAAAAATTATACGAGATATAAAACATTTTCTTAAATAAATATATCAATTAACATGAAACAGCTAATGCGCTTTGTTATAATAGCAAACCATAAAATTATGTGAGGCCGTCATAAAATTGTTTAGATGTCAACAGTCGCTTATAATAATCTATATATATATAAATGAATGTCTGTCTGTCCTTTATGCATTAGTACACATTCATCCGATGCCATGAAACTTTGGGAAGTTGTAATGCCTAAAGGTTGAGTCCCGGGGCTGCCTACAATTCTAACAGCGAAAAAAAAATACAAGGATGAGTATTAAACTAAATCTAATTATTTTTGTGACCTACTAAACAGATAATATTTTTAAGTAATCATTTTTTTTTAATATCCATATAATAGTTTAAAATAAAAGTAAATATCCTTATACATGGTAACTTTCATAAATTACATAAATAACTTTTTTTTGTTAATTGTTTGATTTACTTGTGTTGACAAAAATTGTACTTTTGATGTCTAGTAACTACTGTAAAAACTATAAATATTAACATTTTCAACTAATAAACAAATTCAATTTTTCAATTATTTCAGCAATTAATTATTTATCATACATATACTCTGTTATTATTCCGAACAGAGTATAGTTATTGATCTATTAGGTTTTTATAGCTAGATTACTATTTTCGACAAAACTAAATAGTTCTTCTTCTTGAGCTTTTAAGGTCTTTGAAGGACTTTCGCTGTCTCTACTACACTCCTTCGCCTAGGGACAGATTAGATAGAGACATCCGCCATTGTATTTGTAAACTAGACAGTTTAAAAATAATTTGCTCAGCTTTGAAGGTACTTTTATTTTTTTTTGTTATGTAGTTTGTTTTTGTGAATGAGTAACTTTTGTGAATGGCCGTGTAATAATATTATGTAAACATAATCGCTAGAACCATTTATATTGTGCGAATCAGGCATACGTTGAAAACTGAACGATTGTGACATAAGGTCGCCGTCCAACAGTTGTTTGTTTCCGGCTAGAGTACAACTGAAAATTGGCACACTGACATCGTCGCTCACTCTCTCGTTTCGTATATTGTATACACAATAATAATAACAAAATATCGGTTCCTCGAGTAGGATTCGGTCCTCATCTATGTAATAATAAGAGCGAGAAAAACACGCTTAATCAACGTCTCGACGACCATTTATCAAAATATATTTTGTTTTGGCACCACGTTACTCTGTGGTAACCTCAGTGGCCGAAAATTGTATATTTTTATGAGCAACGGTTTTTTCCACCCAAAAACTGGCGTGTAAACGTTTTGGACACACTTGTATAAGCGTGGCAATCGTCAGCAGTCGTTCAAACGCGAAAACCCTCTGAAAAGTACTGTGGAGCTATTTTTAAGCACATATTATAAAAGACTTCACGGCCAAGTCGCGGAGTTACTACTTGAGATGTTTTCGTCGACACCGTTAACCGTTAATTTATACGACCCAACGGTCGTTATATTTTGTAGAATAGTCATTTATCCGTGGAAAATGTAAAAAGCCAACAACTTTATCACCGACATTAAAACAGTATTCGCTACTTTAACGTTCTTAATTAGGTATACCTTAAGCAGTATAGAAAGCCTTTACTAAACGAAAGAGTGGCCACATGTCATTTTTAATATCGAAATTAGCCCATCTAGTAATAAAACATAATATAAATTGTATACAATTTACTATTGTTGAATATCATTTTGGTCATAACCAAATAAATTCGAGTGAGTTGTTCGTCTCCTTAATCCTAACATTAATAATTAACACTCTCGAGCAACAACGCTTTCGTGCGCTATTGCGCGATTGGATAGAAGTTCAAAACAAGTTTTTTATAAAAAATATACATTTAAATTAATAATTAATGTACATAATTAATAGTAATGGAAATCCGAAAATCCGGATTAAAAAAAAAAAAAGGCTATTTAACCCACTTAAAAATTACATGAATATCAAAATATATGTATTGTTAAAATATAAAGCTAAGTGTACCTAAGTAAAATGTGTTGATGAAGATTAAAAAAAAAATACGCTTAATTTTTACTATAAATTCTTTTCGGATCCCAACAAATCCTTTTTTAGTGAAAATCCTGATTTTCAGATTCTCATCACCAACAAATAATACGAAATTTGATCTATTTTGGAACAAGAACTAATGTACATCTAATTTTTTTTTTGCTAAACTTAAATTCGCTTTTAGGATTTCTATCGTAAGCCTTTTTATTTATTTATTAGTTGGATTCATAATTAATATAGAAATTAGAAACTCTGTACCAACTCAAAGCCATTGTCGAATAACAAGTGTCTTAATGTTTTAATAATAAAGTTTTATTGTATTGCTTAAAACCTTCTCACGATGGCTTTGGGCCTCATGATCTGTTAAGCTACTTAATCGATTTTGGCTTTTGCAAATAATCAACACTTATTTTTAACGTTATAATATACAGCTTAATAAACTCATGATATAAAATAGTACATATATATATATATATCTTTAATATAAATAACATCAATTTATATTCAATATTGTGTTTTTATTTAAGAACTTTAATCGAAAAAAAGTACAAAATATATACATTTACCCATCAACATAAAATTACAAATTTATAAAATACTAATTCTTTTTTTTTTCGTTATTTAATAGAATTTTTTACCAGCTCACTTAACAATTATTAATAATGATTGGTGAACTGACTGCTTTAGCATTATATTCATTTAAAATGTATACTGGAGAAATTTAAGTACAACTATTTATCACATTTCTCTTTGTCTAGGTATGATTTCTTTTCTTAATATTTTGGTTAGGACTACTACTTACTAGTCAGACTTTTCATTAGAGGTTACCTATTTGCCATGTTTTATTTAAGAAAATTAGGCTACCATAGTTAATATAAAAAAAAAACTTTATCTAATAATTGTTTTCAAAAAAATATTATGATAACCCATAATTATATTTTGTTTAACGAAAATATTTATTCAAGTATTGTAAATATAGAAAAGTAAAATGAGCTTTATTCTTATTAAGAACACTAAATACCTAATTAGAATCATAGTGTTAATAAACGATCTTCTTCTTATTGTAATTCAATATATGATATATCGAATAAAATATTATCATCATTGAAAACGTGAACAATAATATATTTATAAAAAATAATGTCTTTATAGTGTACCTATCAAATCTAAACGTTGATTATATAAGGTTACATAACGTACATTTATAACTAAGGAAAATAGATAGAAATTGTAAATTTCTTACCGGCATGTTTTCTGTTGGATAATATTTTCTTCTTTGGATAGGTTTGCAACGGATTTGTTTGGTTTTCAGCTGAAACTACAGGCTGCTATATTATGCTGTTGGGCACCCACGTCAAACACTGTGAAGCTGTTCGTCTGTTCGACAACGGTTTTTATACACAAACCGTGGACTGTAGACACACACACAAACTGTAAGCACACACGGTTTTATTTTTAGAAGTCGTTTAATTACCCGTCAAAAACGCTAGTAGAAGACGATGAACACAAACGACTTGCCGGCTTCCAACTCCGCCTCCGCTGTGCTATAATATATAGGTAATATATGTATATACATTATAAAGTACACAAATAACGGCACGTATCGACCAAAAGAAACTCCCCGAGATATAAAGTCAACATCTAGCAATATTTGATTATATTTTTCACTTTAAAAAAATTTTAATATTGACACCCAAGTTTAGAAAAGCCAGCAGTAGCAGTCGGGGTAAATAGCAAATTGGGACCGGGTAGTTCGAAGGTCCCAAGATTAAATCAATAATGGCAGTAACGTGTTTTAATAGACTTGGTGTATAATAAATAATTGATTTTAATTCGTCTTGAACCTAACCGCCTATACCGACCGTTTTTATAGTCAAAAACCCATCATCGAACCGGAACTAGTAATCTGATAAGAAATCTAAAAACCCTTTCTTTTATCGTTGTTCAATATTATTTTTTTGCCAACATTTATACCTATTTAAGTTTGAACTTTGAAGTACACATTTCCAAGCAACGAATAATATAATTTCTGATAATTTCATAGTAAAACAAATCTCAGGTCACGAATTAATTTTTTTAATATCTGTATGGCATATTATTTATTTTTATAACAATTAATATTTAATATTTTTTTAATTAATACATTTAATATTTATATTTGTTTATATAAAATGACAATCCAATGATAATCGCCATACAGATTAAACTTTAATTATATAACGATTTTCATGGACGGTTCATTGACACTTATCGGTGTATACCACCGATTCGTTACTACCAAGTAGTCCACGAGTTGTTATGCACAGTTGCAGTGGCGCCGAACCATCCACTAACATCTGGGAGAATACATCGTTCACACTTTACACCCAGCCACCCAAAACAAATTCACACATAATATACAAAAATCTAATCCTACAGTATGACTTCCAGCAAGTAGAGATCAACCAACCACCTCGTCCATTAAATCAATGGAATACATACGGTATACCCCACCAGACACTCTTTTCGGAACCACTGCACAGTTTTCTAGAACAGCTATAATTATCACCCATTAATTTATTTATTATCATAATTGTTGGTAAACTAGTTGAAAATATGAAATGACTCGCTCGTGTATAATGATAATGTACGTATCTCCCCTAAACTACATTTTTATAATATTAAGAATTTTTAATTACTTTAATTTATAATTATTTTGATTTTGTTGGCCGTTTAAATGTATGCATGAAGAAAGATTGATAACATGAACTACAACACTGTAAAACTACTTGGTGGCTCCGATTCTGTTAGATCATTGATTAATATTATTTTTTATTCTAATTCTTTTATTCTGTTAGAAATTAGAAAATAGAACGTTGGAAGTTGGATGTTGGATCGTCTACGAGTTACAATGAACGATCACAATAATCATTTATCATATTCATTATCTTTAATTAATCTTGACTACTAAACGTTCCGTTTATAACCGTATGCTTATAGATCTAAGTACGTGATCGAGATCAAGGTACTCGGAAAGTTACTGATTGCTCACTATTTCGTAAAAAGTTCAAATTAGGTATTAAAACTTACCCAAAGTGACTTATCTATTTTATTAGAATAATAATAGGTATATTGAGTCTTGACCCTGAATCGTTATCTTCAGTTCACTATTTCCTGTTAAAACACTGTCAAAGTGGAAAGTCGTCAAAGATTCTTATTGAATATAAATAATATTGTGTATTTAGATCATGGAATATAAGTATGTTGTAACTTATAAGTAATAAATATTTTATAACCTTATACATATGGTAGTATATGCGAACATTATAAAAATCATTATGTAATTTTTAAAAGTTGTTTGATACAAGGACCAATTTCATTTATGACCTAAATTATATCATATATAAGCCATAGTATTAAGGTGTTGGATTAACACTCCATTACTGCTGCTGTTATAACTGTAACGTACGTTGTATATACTATTCTTTATATTTATTATTTATACTGTGTGTTTTTTATGTTTAATAGTATTGTGTTCAATCATATTATTGTTGTGTTTTATTTCTACTTAAATACTAACTTCCACCAAGTTGTACAAGCGTATATCGCAATAATTCCAAATAACCAAAGTGGGAATTATAATATGTTTGTATTAGATTTAGGAAGGCAATTTTACTTTTTATTAATTAATATAGTAATCTAGTAGTTTTTAAGGAAGTTTCAAGTATACATTTTAAGTATGAAGTTTCGAATGTAAATTCTAACTACATAAATGTAATAAGTAAAAAACAGTCATGCTCAGGTTTGGATTCAGATGCTTCTTGCATTACCTTGTAGCAATTTATATTTACAATTTTATTATTAAGTATTTCTGTTGCAATAGTCCTATACCGGTTTGCAAAACAAAAAATTATCATTAAGTAAATAATATTTTATGCTTATCCAGCCTCGTCACGAGATTTAGATGTACCCAATAATATAATATTGAATTGGTATTGAAAACTTAATTATTGACTAGTTAGTCAGTAATATTTGTGATATACTGTAATATACTGTGATATTTGTTAATAATTAATACTTAAAAAGTTCTCTATGCGTAATGCCTACATTTTGTAACATACTTCAAAAATTCTAATTTTATTTTACTTTTTGGTAAATAAATAGTAAAATGGATGAACGTGTATTGAAAGATTTACTTTTATGTCGATATTATTTGGATTTCTTGGATTTATCGTGCAAAATGTTACCTTGCACGCATATGTTTTGCAAATATTGCTAGCGTAGACACTGTCGATGAATTGAGGTGCCCTATGTGTGACATGGTATTTGAAAATCTACTGGATGAACTGCCATCTAATATATTGGTTATTCAAATGTTGAATGCTGTAAAGACTCAAAATACTACTATCGAGTCTTCCTAACAGTTTTTGTCTATTGGTTGTTCGGACAAAACTCTTAAAAACTCTTCGGACTTAAAAAAGCTAAACGCTTCGGCTTGACTATATCACGACATCTTTGTCAAAGATGTCGTGACTTTATATCTTACATTTTATTTATATACATTAATTATTGTTAATGATCAAAAAAATACAACACGCTGAATCATACTTATTCAATTTTAGTATAATTATTATAACTTAATATTTGAATGAATATTTAAATATTTAAATATTTTATTTATATACAATGTGCTGAATTGTTCGATAGACAAATAAATAATATGGCAACGTTGCACGTAAATTCGTTCTCAATCGTATTTTACCGAGTTAGTCGGTATTATTCTATTAGGAAGTAATATTGAAACTGGTTCCGGAATTCTCCATAAACATTGTTTTTATTCCCTGTTTTAAAACAATGTATTGGTAAAAATGTTTAACAATAAAATAAATACAATATACAGTTAAGTAAACTTCAAATCCATAGACAGATTTGCAGAAATTGTATGGTCAAGTTTTAAGTGTTTATTTTTTAAATCTTTCGGTGCTTTTTATCGCTAATATATTAATATATAAGAATAAGCAGAATTTATAATTCCTCTTTTACCACGATAATGTGTTTCAGTTTTAGGTGAATGCGTGTCAACAGAAAAAAATTGTGACATGGTTTGCAAAACAACAAAATATAATAGGTAGGTATAATAATAAATAACACAATTATCTCGATGTATGTACTCATTTACTCGGTTTATTTGTAACACAGTCTAAAAACATTGTCATGCATCAACATTTCTAGCTTTAGCTCAAAGTCTCAAGATTTTTTGATTTTTTTATTAAAGAATATAATTAGATACATATATATTTTCAGTTATTTACAGTATTATCAAACATTGCAACAAACTTTATAACTATATAATTATTATATAAACAACTGTTATTAAAAATCTGCGCGTACTTTAAAACTAGATATATGAAAATTAATTTTAAATTTAAAAGTTGTAGAATTTTGACCGTTGTTTATTTCCATTCCCATTTATCTAACCTTTAATTTCCTAACTATTTTTCCTATAATCTTATATCGCCCTTCAAACGGGACACACCTATAAGAACATAAACAATGTTTAGAATATAATTCACCGTTTTTGGCTATGTAGAAACATGTACTTGTGTCTCGCTCTAACGGACCTGGGCGGCAGTCCAAATTTCGTTGTTGGACAAACCTACTAATAGATGCCATTGTCGTATTTATTTACCATCAGACTTGCACTTAAAGCTGGATTTTGATCCACACAGGCACAGCTTGTAAGTAGTAACAGACTAGACGTTATCTGAACTTTGTGGCAACCAAGAACGCCGTTCATTATACCACTTTTTATTCTCTATAAATGTAGTGTACACCAATCATGCCAGTAAATAGGCTGTTCAAACGCTATAAATAATTATCATATTTATACATAAATATTATACATACAGTAATTTGTAATTTGTTTAGTATGTAATTGTCATTCGTCGAATCTTTTTTATATTAGAAATAACAAAATAGTACAATAAATATTATTTGATAAAAAAAAAAACTACCAAATACAATTTTTATTTTATCACTTATTTGATTTTCTTAAGTTTTTGAAAACATTATACCCAGCCCAGTCTTTTCGGATGTTCACTTTTAATTATTTACTGATCCCCCCCCCCTTAAACAAAATTCCTAACGACTTTTAGTTATAAAAAAAAACTAAAACACATAACTGCAAGACTGTGTCTCTCGAGTCCGTGTAACTCATGTAGTAAGTAGTTAGATCCCTTTAAAAACCTAAAACAAATTCCTAAATACTTCATCAGAATGGTCTGGTATCTTGTCGTCTGTATAAAATCGAATTAAACGCGTTCGGAATTCGAATACCGCACAACGGTAGGTACTTAATATCAACAATGTGTCACTTGCTGGTAAAAAAATACGTATATAGTTTGTAATACCATATCTTTATTTCACACGGCGGTATAGATTTTTAATAACATTGTTATCAACCGCCACTGTGCACGTGGCCAACGGCTAACCGTTAACGCATAACGCCTCAGTAGCACAACGGAGTATGGGCAGCCAAAAAAAACCTCTCTCGGTGTGCTTAAAATAAAAATGCGACAATTTGTACACACAGTGCTGTCGAATTCATCACAGCAGTGTGGTGTCGGGCGATGCGTGTTTTGAACAATAAACAAATTTCTAAAACGCTAATTAAATTTGTTTTTCTTATCTGTGATTCGTGTCCCGGATCTTCAACAAACAATACCCGTGGTCGGCGTGTAACCATAATTTTTTTTATACGGTGTCGATATCACAATACACATCCATACTCGGATCGGTTTCCGATCACAATTGCTATAGAATTTGGTGCGACAATAATAATATAGAAAGCCTTAGAGCGCGTGTAGCGTGCACACTACACGCTCGATTCGACTAGGTACCGGAAATCGGATACAAAATTGTTCTAGCTCTGAGGTGCGCAGAGCTGGTTAACGTCGTCGTCCGTGTGAGTAAAAGACAATTATTTATTTTTTAAACAACTGCTATCGAATATTCAGCTATCATTAGTTCGCTTTAATTAGTGTAAACGGTAAGCGCCAATTGTGAAATTGCCCAATTACAAAAAAAAACACTTGGCCAATGTTTTACACGGATCATAAACATTATACCTGGTGATGCATTTATTTCGCGAACTTGGCAAATTTTGTTTGCCAAACTAATGAACGTACGAGGTACTTTTTTCAGAACTTTTAAAGTGTGATTTTTTTGTTTTAACAAATTCTTTTAACCGATTTTTTCTTTTTATAAAAATAATTTTAAAAATTCGCTTTGCAAGAAAAATAAAAGTTTTCATTTAGCGAAATCTATTGATAATCGTTTTTCACCGTAAAAAATGTTTCGGAAGTACACGAACAATGCGAATAGACCTGTTTAGTAAATGTTACTTAATTATTTTTCGCAATGTTGTAATATTATACGCACTTTAGCACCGTTACAAAGCGGAGAAGGTAATACAATTTAATAATAATGTACTAAACTCAGGCCCGGATTGACACTATCATAGTGTCTATGCGCTAATACTGTTCTGCATGTAGGTATTTTAATTTAGAATATTAGGCCGCCTAAACAATTACTGATTGATATACATTACTTATAAAGTTCAGATTAATTTTAATTGATAAGTTCATGCTTTGTGTATCCCAGAATTTCTTATTATTAACCAGTTTTTAAATCGGACAAAGCAAACTAAAAATCTATGAAAGGTAATAATTTAAGAAATTAAGAAAATTCACAATACTCAACAAAATATAAATAAATAAAATCTAGAGTAACTTTGTGGAAATTATTATAATTTTTAATAAAACCCATACCACAAAAATAATACGTATTTCGACATAGTTCTTAAAATACTTATATGCTATAAGTTCATTATTTTTGTGGGTTAGGTTTTATTAAAAACTATTAATTATAAATAATTATTATTAATAAAATATATTATACTTGTGTTGAATATCTAAATTTCAACGATTAAAACAATAATGAAGTCCAAGAATAATTAGTTGTCATAATTTAAAAAGGCACTTGTTTAGATGATTTATTTGTTATCAGTATCCTTGGTATTCTCATAGTTTTTTTATCAATAAATTACTAGTTATTTTAATTAGTATTTTATCTATAAATTATTTAATTTATATATAAATATGAATTATAAACCTTATATACTAATATGTCATGTTCTAATGTATCAGTTTTAAATTGTTTGAAATTGAAATTAAAAGATATGATTACTTTAATTGACTTATTCACATTTGTAAAATACACAACGTGAGCTGAAAACCTTGTACAATTGCATTCTACTTTTGTGTCTTATTTAGAAGAATCTTTGAATTTATACTCATTTAAATGTAAATAAAATAATTAACACTATTTGTAAAGCATAATTTGTATTTAACATTTGTCGTTTAAATTGTATTTTATAGTAAATAAAAACTATCCGCAAGGCTTCTCGCAATGGCGCCGTTCAAAATTAACAAAAAGCTGATATTAATGAAAGCGTGTTTTTTCATTTTTGATTCTGGTAAGTTATTTTATTTTTTTTTTTTTTATCCGTTTAATGGTAAATACATAGGTAGGTAGAAAATGTATTCAGACTTGAAATATTACTGGTGGCGTATATGCACCCCGAAAATAGATACAAAAATTAATTTAACTATTTAGGTACCTATTTACCTATTTCATAATGTTGTTTTTTCTTTTTTTTGTGTCCTAAGAAATTCATCTAAATTCTGAACACAAGCCGCTAGTTATCAGACAAGTATGTCTTATTTAAATATTTCTTTATCCTTTCTTTTTTTTTTTTTTTTTTTTTTTATTGGACTGAAATAAACCCGAGTAATATTACCCGAGAGTAAATCGATAACTTAATTACTGATATTGTAGTTAATAATATTAAAATACTATAATAATAATACAAAACAAGGAACCTAAAAAAAAAACCAACATTATCTTTAAATAGGTATCTACTGGGGAACCTTTTGAAAGACGTTACTCGTTGTTAGTCATTACTGTAGAAATAATACATTTTGCGAGTGGCTGTAGGTGAGTTGCGGCCCGAGGTGTTGTTCATAATGTCGGCGACCGGTGAATTGCGGCCCGGCAGTTTTCAATTGGACTTAAGGGTTGCGGCCCGTTCAACCCATAGAGTAATATAGAGGGGCCGTTGTTTTCATAAATTGAAGCCGGAACTTCGACTCCTTTTTCGGAACTATCGTTTTATAAAAATAAAATATTGTACTGTTTGGTTCATAGGTACCAACCTACGAAGCACAGATACAGTGCCGCAACTACCATTATAGAGGCCCCGGTGCAGGCTAATTTTAGAGGCCCCTATTTACTATAATGCTCACCCAAAGTTTTGTAGGGTCCCCAATTATAAAACTAAAGTTAAACCCTATTTAATACTTACTGAATCTTAATAAGAGCTGAACTATAATTGGCAGGTAGCTTCAACTTAAACGCTTGAATACTTTATTTTTTAATTACCTTTATACTTGTTATATACGTGTATAAATCAGTTTATTACAAAAACAAAAAAAATCTTGAAACATAATATTATGATTTAAATATGTGTATAAGTTATAGCATGTCAAAAAAAAAATGTATGTAACAATAATTATAATTCAATTTTGGTTTATTTAAGAAAATTTTGTTTTCTTGCTTTTTTAGTAGCAAATATTTGAATTATTTTGTTTATGTCCAATTCTTTTGTTCTTCCTCGTTCAATATTTAAAATACTTATGTTTGTCAGGCGGTCTTGAGACATTGAATTTCTTAAGTAGTTTTTTATGATTTTTAATTTTGAAAACGATCTTTCTGCATTGGCTACAGTAACTGGCAATGTTATAAATATGATACATGCACTAAAAATATCATTGTACATAGAGGCCATATCATTTTCTAAAATACATTGTAAAAGGTGTTTAATACAATGTAAATTTTTTAATAAATCCTTTAATATAGATTTAAGGGATAGAATTTGCCTTGTTGTATCAGTACTTAAATCATGTTTGTAAAATATTTGAAAGTCATAAGATGCTTTTGTGATATCTTCTTCACTAAATGATAATATATTATGCGGTACCAGAAATTCAAATCTTTTAGTAACCTCAAATAATCCTTTGAATCTTTCTTGAAGTTGTAAAATTGCTGTATCTATAACTGGTAAAAAAACCATCACACGAAGATTGTCTTCAGAAATATCGAGTCTTCTATCACCGTCAACATCACCAAAAATCTTTTTTGAATATACACGGCGACGAATAGTTTTTTGGATTGGTATATTCCACTTATTACATTGCTCACTTGCAGAAGCAACTAGCTCTTTATAATGATCCCTTAAACTTATAATAGAAGAAGAAGCCTCCTTTAAAAATGTACATGCATCATGAAGATTTGTATTTGGGCTCTGTAATTTTTTAGATACTAAATGGAAGTTTCTTAATATATTTTCCCAGATTGTTAGTAATAAAATAAACTCAAATGATTCAATTTTTTTTTTAGTCCAATAGCGTAGATAGTATCATAATACAATAAATCTATATATAGTTTTGGAAACTTATCACTCCTGTTATTAGATAATACATGGAAATAAATGGAATAGTTTTTTTTCTCAAATAAGGTGGTTATCTGTGTTTGGTCTCCATTTAATTTGTATATAAATATTTATAGCCTTTATTTATACGACACACGTTTGGCTATCGAGTGGTCATATAATCATAATATCGATAACTACAGTAAACAAAATACAATTTATCAATTTTAAATCCAATGGCCAATATTCAAGTGTCATCATTAAAAATACACAATCGAATACTAAAAATTGTTTAAACCTTGTTTTAAGAAATGAATGTTTAGACTTGAATTGTTATGTCTTCATTAATATGAGGCCCCTTAAACATAACCCGGAGGCTTGTCTGGCGGTGCGATGCACCGCCTGCACCGGCGGTAGTTGCGGCACTGCACAGATAAAATATTATTTGCCAATAAACATTTTACACATGGACGATAAATATATTGTAATCACGGCCGTATATTACGACCGTGATTGGGCAGTTGGCCCCTATTGGCTTTTTCTGGGTCAAACACTCAATTATTATTGAATCATTATTGATGATTTTAATGTCCTAAAAAACTTAAAAAATGCCCTAAAAATTCTGAATAATGCACTAAATTATTTTTATTTTTAATAATATCGATATAGATTTGGTAAAAACTGTAATATACATTTTAAACGATTGAAAAAAGTTATGTACTGATACTTATCAAGTATTTATCTCAACAATATAATCTATAAGTTAACTATTAAATACAAACTACACTTGTTCACAATATTAAATAATTAATTAATTATTAACAAAATGCATGAATTACGTCAATTACGAGTTCTGTGCAATAAAAACCAAAGGTGAAAATCAAGTATGAACATAATATTTCGTTTTGTAAATGTTTTGTAAGTAGTTGTATGTAACTGACAAAAACCGTGATATTAATTGTTGATAAAATACAGTGCACCAGCATATCATATATTGACATTTTACAATATTTTAAACTATACAAAATGATAGTTCTGAAAAATGAGTCTAAGTTCTGACTTCAATTTAGTTGTACAGACATTATAGGGAACAGCCCCTCTATATTACTCTATGGTTCAACCTTTGGATGATTTTTTTTTAAAGAGATCCACTCAATATCGTATAGAATTTAATTAGTTTAACTACATTTCACAAGACGCGTCGTTCCCCCATAACATTTGAGCACAGTTTACTGCCAGCTACAACCGTACCACAAACAGCTGTGAAAGTTTTCATTAAAAATTAAACGGTTCATTCTATACTAGCCATCCAAATATCTATAACTTCGTTGATGTGCTACTTGAAATTCAATCCGAAACGTATATAAAATTTAGAAGTAACTTATTAAGAAAATGTGCGAGAAAGAAGCGTTTATTAGAGAACAAATGATAAAAATAGAAAACAAAGAGATCGGACAGTTTAAATTTGTCAAAACTTTAAGTTTAAAATTCTCTCAATAATATAAAAAAAAAACTAAAATGACAACGACGGAAACACTAATAAAACAATTCTCTGTTTATATTAGAGGTCCCTATTACACGTGTATTCGATTACACGTGAAACCCGTGTAATTAACATACACGTGTATTGAAAAAAAATTTTTTTTGTTATTAATTTTAGTTTAACGTTTAATATCACGTCTATTTAATCATACGAACTCAAACACAAGTATAATTGTGTAAATACTCGTACGTTAACTTAAACTAAAATTTTTGACAAAATACATTTTTTTAAATACACGAGTATTTAAAAATACACGTGTATTTATAATTACACGTGTATATACACGTAACACGTGTATGTTAATTACACGGGGTTCCTGTACACGTGTATTTAAATTACACGTTTAAAATCACAGGCACTAGTTTATATTACTTTATTTTCGCGCTCAAAACATTTTCAACATTTAATTCATCGTCACATGAACAAATTTGAGGGGACTGCCGGCTAAGCCTTCCCTATTTTCACCTATTTGTTTTATTTTTTTTTTTATAAATTTAATAAATAAATTATTATTTAATATTATTAGAATATTAATTAGCTGGAAAATGTTTTTTTTCATTTCGTTTATAATCGGTATTTGACATTTGTTATTTATTACCTCGACAGGAACGGCGCCAATCAATACTTTTTTGCCAACAATAGCCAAAGAACGTGGCATGCCCGTGTTTGTTGTTGGCTTGATTCTAACGTTCGTTCCCATCCTGAACGTACTGGTAAGACCGTTCGCCGGGTTCACAACCGACCGATGGCGCTGTCGCAGGGCAGTGTTTTTAGGTGCCAGTCTGGCCAATGTCTTTCTGACGCCAGCTTTGCACATCATCCCGAGCTTGACTGACCAACAGAAGGCGGACGGCGTGGACGTGTGGACCACATATGGCTTTTGGCTGTTTCTGTTGGTCATCACGCTGAGAATGACCTTGTGGATGATCGGAGACGTCCTCCAAGACACCATTTGTATGGGAATCCTAGGTCGGTGTTTATAATAATAGCTGTTGTGGATTCGCGACTTGAAGAAAACGCGGCCATCCGAATGGATCGTTTGTTAATTAGGTTTGTTTTGTTTTGTCCAGGCAAAGACACGGCAAAGTACGGTGGCCAGCGGATATTCGGAGCCGTGGGATGGGGTATTAGTTCCGCGTTTGTCGGATGGTGCGTGGACTTGTACAGCAAAGGACAACCGGTAAAAGACTATCTGCCCGCCTACATCTTTTCAATGGTACTCTCTATTATCCATTTTGTCGTCGCCTCCAGACTAGACGTAAGTGGTTCAATGTCGGCTTGCAATACAAAGTCTATTGATTTTAGCTTCTATGCAAAGCTGACAGAGTATACTTATTAAACAATAATTTTTTTTTGTGTCCGTTTGCATTAAATAATATAATTTTAACCGCTTAAGCTATTTTTTTTGATGCGATCACGATTTAGTCGGTACCTTCAGTGGCACAACTAAGTAAGTTAAGGCGAAGTAAGACTTTGGAGCCCGCTTTGGTGTACTCGAAGACAATTTTCACACATTTTATCTTATTATTATATACACTAAATATATATTATATTTCACCCAAATCTCACCCCATTTCATTTTTGTAACTAGAAATTGTCTATATTTTATTACACTGAGGAGTTAGTATCTATCAAAAATAAATACTTAAACAAAATTGGGTGGAGGGCCTGCGGATGACGCTGGGGAATAAGCGATAGGTCCATTTTACAGCTGAACACGCTCCTATCTCTCCTGTTATTTGATGCACAAGTCATTTCATAGTTCTCTAAGAACTCTTTTCCTTCCTCAGGATCGAGTCTTCCGGTCATATCGACTTCAGCTTTGAATCTTTCCATAAGATCGAGAGGCATGATACCCGCGACTATTTGAAGTGAAAAGGTTGCGGCTGTTGTGTATACATTAGTCATGCCTAATAGAGCTTTTCTCTGAATTTGTCCAAGTATCTATATCCCTCTTCTGGTGCTAACGGTTTGGTACCAGAACTGTACACCATAGAGAATCTTGGGTAGGAATGAGTTATTGTATATAGAAGGACCATGTTGCCTCTGGGGGCTATTGTGGTGTTATTTGGTTCATTTAACTCGGTTTTAATATAGCTAAATTAATCAGTTAATCACATAATTACTAAAAAAAAAAATTCTAAGATCAGTAACTACAATATTATAATAACGTGCTAAAATAAAAATTACCTAATAGAGTGTTTTGTTGCAATTTATTTCTAGACTAGTCAAAACGCCTCTACTAAAAATGACAAGTCGGTTGGCAAAGTTTTAAAGGACGTCAAGGTGGCGTTTTTCCTTGTGTGGGCTACCATAGCCGGCGTGTTTACAGCCTTCGTTTGGTACTATTTGTTTATGTAAGTCGTTTAATTAACATCTACCAATACTTATAAGGTGTTATAAACATAACAATAATAATGAAATAATTGTGTATATAGTAATAATACATTTTTTTTAGCTAAAAATATTAATAATTTACCACTACATAAAAATGTACTTATGTGAATATAATAAGCAATAATTAAATATTTTTTTCATTTTTAAACCACTAAAATTGTGCATTTATATTTATATTATTTAACAAAATATGTATATTTGTTATCGACAGACACATTGAACATTTGACTGAGTTTTACCATCCGGAACGTAAACCTTGGATTAAAACCATCGAAGGATTTTCGTTTACAGTTCAATGTTGTATAGGCGAATTACCTATTTACGTTATGTCAGGTATAACAGTTGACTATATATATATATTTTTTTTTTAACTTTATTTCAAACTACACTATGTTTTTATTTTATTTTATCTCCTAACCGTACAGATATCATACTGAAAAAAATTGGTCACATGACAGCCTTTTCAGTGTCCTTCGTCATGTTTTCTATACGATTTTTCTTGTATTCAATCATTAAAGATCCGGTCTGGATCTTGCCAGTAGAACTGATCAACGGTGTATCATTTGCGATGGCCTTTTTGTCTGGCATCTCGTACGCTGCCAAAGTAGCGCCAGCAGGAAGCGAAGGGACTTTGCAAGGGTTATTCGGTATGGCGTTCCAAGGATTAGGTAATACTATACAAATCACTACAGTCAGTTTTAAGTACAAATACTGTTTAGGGGATTTGTCGGTATAGCCGTTTTATTTTTGTAATTATTTGTTTTAATTCGCTTACTTGTGTTAGAAAGAATGAAGAAGGAAAACTCAATAAATAAAAAATTGCAACTAAGTTAATTAACCACGTTTTTTCTGGGAGAAATAGACATTTGTTTTGTTCAAGTTTAAAATCCACTTTAAATATTTATCATGTTTTCTTATTGCCTGTTAGGAATATCATTGGGTTGCTTCGTAGCCGGTTACACATTCGATACAATGGGAAGTTCCAAGTCTTTCCAATTGATGAGTTACGTGGCGTTTATTGCGTTTGCTATACAAGTGGTTGTTAACCGATTAGTTCAAAGTAGAAAAACAAATAACGCAAGGCAGAAACAAATAGAAAGCAACGAAATCGATCTTTGTCAAAAAGAACTTTTATAAAAAAAATTTGTTTGAACCGTGTTATAAAAAAAAAAAACACAAAATAGTTTTATATCTACTCTATGTGTACTTATATGATTCAAATTATTAGTATATATTTTTTTAATTATTGAAAGACCAAATTTGTTTTTTATCAAAATAAAAATGTGTAAGTTCATATAGATATAAGTAATTTAAATGTATTCTTTAATTATTATTAAGTCGATAGAAAGGAGTTCTAGACATTTAAATAATTGTTGTGATATCTTTCATTTTACCTACTGTAATGTTGTACAGATTGTATGTTTTTAATATAGAATTTTTTACATGTTCCTATATTTATTTTTCAATTAACCAGATAATATTAAATATATACAGCGCAGTTATTTTAATTTGTATAATTGTTATTATTATTTTATAATTTTAATTCGGTAATTTACACATCACATACCAACTTTTCAGTCATGTTATATCCAATGTTTTTTTCAATTGTTTGACGTTGCTTTATTAAAAGAGACAGTATGTTCAACAGTTAAGACTTAAGTAGATACTAATAACTAATAAGAGGAAAATTTGTATGACCGATAAGGGTAGAAAACAAGCTAAACCTTATTTTTATAACGAGAAAAATAAATATGAAAGTACTTACTCGATATGAGGCGCCTAGTTTCAAAACCAGCTAGACAATTTTTGAAAATTTTCACAAAACAACAAATAATTTCTTTAGATAGAACCAACCAAGATTTTCAAACAAACACAGTTTGAATTAGTTAAATTCTTTATTTGATATTCAATAACAGTTTTACATAACATGTAATACATTGTGGTCACTTAGAAAACAAACACCTTGTCAAAATGTCTTAGGGCTGATTTTGAAACTAGTTGCCTCATATAATATAACAAAAATATATACTAACTACACTTTTTTATAGATAAGTAGCATAAATAAAAGAATATTAAGAGGGCGTCGCACCGGTGATTTTCAGTGATAAAAACATGTTTAAGCAGACTGAAAATAACTCGCTTAATTTTGGGTTCAGAGTAAAAGCATTCATTATAAAATTAAAAGAAAACAATATTCCGGAGAGCAAGACGATGCGTTTTTTTAAAAAAACTAATTTTTTGGGAAGTTACAGTCATTTAAAAATGTTAAAATAGTTGTTATTTCTAAACTATGTATTGAGCGTTATACTTAGAATAATGAAAAAACGCACCGTCTTGCCCTCCGAAATATTGTTCTCTTTTAATTTTATAATGCTTTTACTCTAAATCCAAAATTAAGCGAGTTATTTTCAGTCTGCTTAAACAAGTTGAGATGAAAAAACATTTTTAAATCGCTTTCAAGGATGCTGTGATAGTCCAAAAAATAAATTAACTACCAAAATAGAGTTCTAGTTATTGAACTAATAATTACATATCACAGTTTAACTTTTAAATTAAGATTTTGTAAAAAATTGCCTATACTTTGCTCCTTAAAAATGGGCGGTGCGACGCACTCTTAAGAGGAGGAGACAAAACGGTACCTTTGTTTCTTTTTCTTCTCCTACTATAAATAATTCACATTTGAATATGTTTTTTCAGTTTATAAATATTATTCTCTACATTGTATGTAGATCATTGGTAATAATGATAATACAATTCTAAAATATAACCTTACATTTTAAACTGCACAAATGTATGTTTAGTTGCCTATACGTTATTTATAGAGGGCGCAATTCTTGAATTTTAGTGTATAATTTGTACTACTGAAATATTTATTACAAAGCCAAGAAAAATAGTTTTACTAGTAATAAATGAGTTTAAGTTAAAGTTGATAGATAGGTACAAACCAATAAGTACAAAAAAAAAATCTGATAACTATTTTACTATTGATAGTTCAATGATTTTTCTATTACAAATTTGTATCTACTAAAATCAAGTCGACCTGTAACTTAAGAATATAATTTAATGGTTTTAATGTGTATATTTATGTAGCTAAATATACACATTCAAATTAGGGTGTTAATAATTAAATTATACTCGTTATACTTATATATAAATATGTATACAACAAGTACTAACAGTTATTAAATTATTTCAATAATTCTGTTTTAGTTATCATTTTTTTTAGTGTGGTTATTAAACAGGATATTATACAGATATTTTTTACCTCTTAGATAGCTAAGCATAATAGATATTTGAACCGTTGTAAGTTGTAATATGTATCTAATATTTATATTCATACAACTTAGGTAAACTATGACTTTTTTGTCAAACAAAACAATAGTTATTATTAACCGTCTATTTCACAAGCGATTTCAATAGATAAATCAAACGGGTAACCTGAATTTGAATGATATACATTAAAAACAGTTTCTTATAACATGGAAATAATATTTTTAAATTATACGCTTTATTTGGTTTGATTTTAACACATAACATTTTTTTTTTAATATAACAACTTATTTACTTTGTAAATTTTGGTCACAGGATTAAAAAACCTAAAATTGAGGATAGTTGGGAAACATCTCACTAAAAACAAAAACAATAGAACAATAACAATATGTATTTACGATAACCTTTGTAAAAATGCTAACGCTAACTTCGTGCTCGACCCCAACATAAATAAACAGTTAAGCCTTTATAACATTTTCTATGTTTTTGTAGGTATACAGCTGCTGTGATACCTAAAATAATTTTAAAACCTTAGTAAGTATAAGATATGTAATTAAGCATAATCTATATCTTAGTCGTTGTTCATATTTAATATGCATTTCTCATTTAACTAACCATTTTATTGTAAAAAAAATACCATTATAATACATTGTTATGTGCGTTACAATATTGTTGTTGCAACATACTCATATAAAATAAATTATTTATTCGTATGACATCATAATTAAGTGATAAATATGAATAAAGTATGTAGAATACAAGTATATAATAGTACAAGGAAAAAATACATTGTTGGTCTACTAAACTAAAATTATGGTTAAATTACATTTTAAATTAAAGCAACTATACATTTTGTTCGGCCTACTATTAATTTATAGTTATTACAACTAGAAATATAACGTGTCCCTATATTAATCATAATATTAGTTGGACCAACTGTGAATATTTTTCTGTGTATATACACATTAAGTATCAACAAAAAACATACACACAAAAATACTACAATATCGGAATTAAAATAATATTTTAAATAATTCCCTAATAATACAAAATAAAACACGTAAGTATTACATTAAGTATAATGCGTTTCTAAATTCCAATTTAGATATCTACAACAAAAAAATTACAATAGCCTAATAAAAATGTATTACCTAGTTAGCTTTTTACATTGCAATTGAAGGGGTCAGTGGGTAAAGGTGTTAACCAACATTTTTTCCAAAATGCATTTTATTGCATGAATAAAAGGATTATAGTGTTAGGTATAGTATAGAGGATCTCTAGACCGATATTTTTCCTCTTATAAGTTATTTCTTCTATTGAATATACAAAAGTTCCATAGCTTTCGTGTAATACTTAGTTACAAAAGTGACGTTCCTGAACAATTTCAAAAATGTCAGTTAACACCTTTATCCATTGACTCCTTCAATTATGAACTTAATAATTTTTAAATTTGTAAAGTGACATCATTTTTGAGATTGTCCAATCTAACATGTATGTAAATCATAAATCATAATAATTTTCCAATAGTATAGTTTGCGCTTATTTTTTAGCAAAAATATACCTATGCAATGTTATGGAAAATAACAATTCAACATTATCCTCATGTTCCAAAAGTTATTAAATTTGATACTAATCTAATTTCACAGGTAATCAAAAATAATACCCAATAATTAAAGACTTTTAAATTATTATTAACAGACACAAATGTCTATGCGGATCAGGGGCCCACCTACTTGATGTAATCCTTTTAATATAATTTACAGACAATAATTGTATTAATATTACAAAATAATAGGCTGATTTTTGTCTTTTGTCCGGGGCCTCAACAGTTCTAAATCAGACTCTGAATACAACCCCAACTGCAGGTAATATTTGTGTACAATGTAGGCTGTATTGTATACAATACATTATTATAACATAGCGATTCCGGCGGATGCGTGTGGCGATGATGCTGCGTCCCTGTTGGGCAAACCGACCTAAGCCGATCGATCCAATCACAGCATCCGCGAGAACCGATCGTCCGCCTACAGCCCACCGGAAACAAAATGGCGTTTATGCCTCCCGCGCACAGATTTCTACCGCTGACGCCGTGCTGCATCCTACAACCGTCTCGGCCTATATCATCGTTATATTCCTTAGCAGTCCAGCGGTACCAACCACCAGTACATTGTACATATTGTTACAATGTAAAGTTAGCGCCGCCGCCCGCATCATCTTTCACTCGGCTCGCTCGGGCTTCTGGTATTTTTTTATGACCCGCGTACGTAGTCCGTTACCTGTCTAAAAAAACAAACCCCCCCCAAAAAAAAAAACCATCAACGTACTTTGTATATAAATAACGTGAAACACCGTACGGACGTGTACGCGCGGGGAAAGCATTATTAGTATTCGGACCGAGTGTCGGACGACCTAAAGTGATGCGAAGAAGATTTAATATAATTTTGTTTTTTCAATCCAACAGAGTTATGGATCAGACGTTTGTTGGCCAAGCTTCCAGAGCGCACCAGGACGGTCGGCCATGGGTGTACATGTAGTATACTGTATTTATGTACATACGGGCCGAACGACGACTCGTGATTTTTAAAAGAAAATAACTATTTATACTCTCTCGCTCGTTCTCTCTTTGTATGTGACCATTCCTCCCGTTCATCTCTCTCGTCCTTTTACGTCCGCAAACGTGGTCGGCATCTCTGATAATGGTCTCGTTGTCTACATATATGTATAATGTATTCCTGTTGTCCATAGGTAGTCATGAATATTTGAAACGGATCGCAGAGATAGAACAGGCCATTGTGCGCGCGCACACTGCACCGTTGTCGTGCGAATCTAATTTATCGCATGTAGAAATCATAATTAGCTTGCAGGCATTGCCAACATTCCGTAGAAAACGCAGAGGACACGCGAGAATATCTCCAAAACCCGTTTGAGAAATTCGATTCCGGCAAGTTTTACCTAGATATTCAATTATTGTTTACCGTGTAACCGTTTATTATCAAAATTATATTTAAATACGCACAGGAAGCAAACCACTCGTTTGACAACTAATGCAGAAAAATCGAAAAATCAAAGTGAATGCATATATAAACATTTTGACGTAGAAATATGAACCTTTACGTTAAACAATGATTGCCTGGAAA